CGCAATGGAGATGTGGAACTTTTATATGGAGCAGCGATTGGAAGGAATCTCGAGCATAGAAAGTTCGTACGAATAAGCACGTCTTTAATGGAATCTGCATGTCAAACGTCAGTATGCCTCTTGGGAAGGTACCTTTTTGGAGAGAACCCAGGGGCGCCTTCCTCCAGCACTTCTCCGTTGACGACGTGATAACTTTATATACGAGTCCATGGAAAGAACTCCCAGCCGAGCAGCTCAAGCAGCAGGACTGCGACCAAATGGCCAAGTGGTCAATTGGAGCGCTCAGAAGGTTAGAAAATCGCAATTTTCGTAGCTCGCGGGAAGCAACCGAGATTCGACCCTGGGAGCAACCCCCGAGCGAGCTTTTTGTTTTTGCCTTTCTTTTCTTTTTTCTTCGTTTTCATTTCTAATTTTCTTTTTAACTCCTGTTAATCTACCGTGGTGAAAGTGAGAGAGGACTCCAGCAGCGGTCCGAGTCACGGAGGGGCGGACGACGGGCCAGTATAAGACTGTCGAAAGGTTACTTAACGGGTTTGGTGCTAGTATGAGCATTCATCATCCAGTTTATATTTCGAATCTATTCTTACTCTGTCATGAGATTTTAACGCCTTTCCCTCCGAAACAGATATGAAACAACTTAAACAAACCGACAAACATATACACACTGATCATTCGTTACTCTTCTACGGACAATATTCCTTGTCTCCCGTCTGTCCAGTCCACTCAAAGTGCACCACATCCGCAATCCTCCGAAGAACGGTCGGGTCAAGCAAGCTGCGCGTCATATCAGCCAGCCAAGCATCATGCTCCTTCCCCTGAGTCCTCACAACTGAGTACGTCTCATCCATTTCAACCCGCTTCTTCCAAACCGAAGGCTGGATATCGGTCGAAGCCAAGGTGCCGTAGGTCGACAGCGCAGCCAGCAACTCTTGGTAGGAAATCCGGTTCTTCTGCGAAGAATATTCGCATTTCGGGTAGGCCCTGACCTCCCGGACGACGGTGAGAAGTTCGTACAACTTGTGGTGCGAAGCCAAGACGGCCCAGTTACAGAAGGCCATGGTGACTCTAGCGCACAAAGGATTAGAACGGATGAGCTCGACGGAGGTCTCTACGACCCGGCTAATGAGGGAGTCGAGATATTGGCAAAAGCTGCCCCTGACGCCGCGCAGCACGACATTCTCACGCTGCTTTCGCAACGTATCGCTCCGGAAATCGACAATGTCGTTGATGAGAGTGCATACCTCCGCAAGGCGCATGTACTGCCCCTCACCAATCTCTCGTCCCGTCGCCAGAGAGGCCGGCACGATGCCGTGGCTGATGGCGATGTCAATGTGGCGTTGGGCAATCAAGCTCGTCATGTGGCTACCGTGAACGCCCTCGGGAAGTCGGTCACGAGCATGGTCTGCGTAGTAGCCTAGCACGCGGAACTGAACCGTCATTCCCACGAGGAGGCGGAGGTGCCATTCTGTCACCGACCCCGCGATTGTGCAGAGCTTGAGGAAAGCGTATGCGGCTGCGCCGACCTGTTGGAGGAGTTTGAGCATGGGGCCATCGGCGGCGGCGCTGTAGTCTCCGATCAGGATATCATTTCCTGAGTCGGCGACGGCACGCAGAATACCCTCGTCACACCATCCAGAGCCGCAGGCGGCAGCGAAGTAGTACTTGGCGTCCGCGCACATTTTAAGACCCTCCGCGGTAGGGTAGAGCTCTTTGTGCAGGGCAGATGCGGTGTCGTTCTGAGGGTGTGGCCGTCGATCGGGAGCCAAGACAACGGGGATATCGGCCATAGTACCGGCGCCCTGGCAGGTGTCTGGAGGAGGGAGCATGCCGGCGTTGGCGAGGAGCAGGTCGGTTACTGCGACGCGCATGTTCTCTGCCGAGAAGAGATTGTCGCAGTGGTCACCCGATGACCATTCGTCGAACTTGCCTACGACCTGATCCATTGCATCCAATGAGTTTCGTACGGACTGGCAGTCGACAGTGTCGAGGATATTTGCAACTGTCGTGTGTTCCGGGACAGGAAAAAGACCGTTGCAGGTGCAAGATGTGACGGGATTGAAACTCTGAGAGAGAATATCAGTCACATCGCAGGACGGTGCCTTGGATCCTCCGAGGAGGACTTGTCCATGGGCGTGGAGCCGCTTGAAGGATCGAACGGCGTTTTGGAGGACTTCGTGGTCCAAGAGCTTCACGAGATTTGGTCTCCGGAATAGCTCTCCCAGCTCCTCCAAAGTCAAGCTGGTTTTCTGATTCTCCGAGTCGCCATCTTCGACGGCATTCGAAAGCCAGGCGTCAACCCAAGCTGTATACGCCAGGGCGCAGATATCTCTTTGGTGAAGAGGAAGATTCATTGTCGAGTTGGCTTAAAGCTGTTAGAAGGAGAGATGCTATGAGAAGGAGAGACGCCGTGGGAAGAGTCGCCGTGATAAGGAGAGTCGATGTCTTTTACGCGCCCATGGGCAGCTTGATTTTTCTTCCCCTCTCCCTTGCTTGCATCTTCCTCTTCTTCTCTTCTTCTTATCTTATTTTTTCCTCCGCCTTGCAGAGACCCCATGTACTAATATTGGATAATGGCATCGCAAACGGTTAGAGCTTGATGCTTGCATGGACTAGTGATTGTTTTTTCTTGTCCTATTCACCACTCGTGCTCCTCTCGAAGCTCGGGCATTTTGCGGGTCCCGTCGACTAACCGCTCCAGAGAAGAAACGCGATCCAGTGATTTTTTATTCCCCCCACTGTTAACCGTTAGGGCTCCAGGATTAGCCCCGTCTGCCTACCTTATCGTTTCTTAGAATCTCACCGGCCGCTTTCTTCTCCGTGGCTGGCTGTCCTCATGCCCGGCACATCGCCGAACAAACCCTGCTCCTTGTTTCACCTCGGCACTACGACCTAGTTTCGGTGCTGTGATCCGGGAACCTCTCCAGGGCCGGTCAAATACGCACGACGCTATGACGCTGTGGGGGCGGAAGGGTGACCAGTGTTTGTCGCGATGGTCGTTGGGTTGGGGCAAGAAGTTGACAATCTTGAGTTGTGGAAGCCGAACCTGACGGCAGACAATTGAGTCGGCGCTGGCTGGAGGCCGGAAGCCAACATGGCAGCGCATCATCTCTGATAGCTACGGGAACCCTTCTTGTCTAGAAAGCGTGGCACTCTCTGATCGGGAGTTTGCCGTTGGTGGAGGGAAAAGGGAACAACGACCTGGGCTCAGACCTGTAACGGATTTGATACCGTCTCGTGAAAATTTATAGTGGTCTGCATCTGCGCGTCCCCCCACACACTCTCCACACTTCGTGTTGCAGTCCGAAGAGATAAAAAATCAAGTGGAATATCCGAGCTGATTCCTTCCGATCAGTCAAACGAGTCCCTCTGTCGAGCTCAGTAGCGACGATATTCAGCTCAGCAGCGAAAAGGTGTGGAGATTCTGTGCCATCTTCCTAGCTCCAATACTCACACAGGTTTACATTGTAACTCTCAGCTATTGAGATGACAGGTACTCCAATCCGTGCTTGGCTTCGAATAAAATCCGAGAATAGAGTAATCTGAACCGCCAGTCATTTCAATTACCTGTTGACAATCAACCATTGACGAGCTCGACGTTAGAAACAACTCCACGTGGGTCACCAATGCTTCCTCCTGACTCGAGATGGTGCCTGGGGCTTGATGCTCCGATGTTGTAGCACCATAACCGCTGGTGATTTGTCTATGCCTAGTGACTCTGAAGGCACCTCACTTTCTTCGAGTCGATTTCCAAGGGGGAAGGTTGAGTTAGCTTGTCACGGCCAATCAACCCAGTCAGCACGTATCCTACTGACGGTCCGAAAAGTCGTTACTCGTTACTCCACGGACCATTCGCCGATTGCGGACATTAACGGCATCTTCACCTTCACTTCCTGTCTGGTGTCGTCTTGGTCATGATATGCTAGAACCTGTAGAGTCAGCTATCTCTCGGTGAGATTGTGGAGATGTTTGCTCCATTTAAATTGCACATGAAGCCCCGGAGAGAGCGGATTGGGCGGAAGGCAATAACAGCGATAGTAGTGATCTTGGCGAGGTCCATGGGAGGGGGGTTTTCACGGCACGCCGCTAACCATTACATGCAGCCATGTATGTGCGTACATATGTACATCATGTGGAAACTAAAAGGCCAGGTGATGGCAGGGAAGAGGCTGGCCGGGGCTGGCTAGGATCCAAAACTGTAGAAGACTCCCTTGAACTAAGGAAGAGATGTGTGTATAACAAGAACATGAGAACATCCCATGAGAGTGGTGCCAGCTAGTGAATTTGCGGTCATCGTATATGATTGTCTGCCCACTCTGACTCTGGGTTTGGGCAGATTCTACTCCGTGAGTCAACGGCCCGGTTCCTCGCACGTCGCGGTCCGCCTGCGATCCGAAACCTCTTATTGCTTGCATGCGTTTCTATCTCTCTGCTTAATCGGACAGTCTAGAGACTTTTGGGATCGATAATCTCTGGCATGGGCGAGGCTAGAGCAACGGCCATTGTGTGTTGTTATTTCGTGGGAGGAGTGACTCGAGCGAGCCTTCCTTGAAACATTTGCTCATGCCTTTGAATATTCGACTCGAGTTTCCCTTGGGAAGGAGCCGACGAGCGCCTCGAGCCTTCCCTTTGCTCCTTCCCTCATCCGCATCACGAGCTCCCTTTCGCCTTCCCTTTCCGCGTTGCCCTCTCGAGTTCCAGTCCCTTACTTCCTCCAGTTCACAATGCTCCTCGACTATATAAAATATTCTAGCAACACACTCTTCTTCACTTTTCCCCCTTCTCACATCAATCCATTCCAATCCCTGGGGGTGAATTTAAAAAAAAGATTCCCGAGAAAAAAAAAAAAGAGAGAAAACGAATCCCTTCCACTACCATACACACCCCAAACCACTACGTCCCTCTCCTATTCTCATTTTGTTTCTATTCACTACCACATTTATTTTTTTACCCCCAAGAAGCACAATTTAACATATAATCCCCATCCAATCCCGCCCGCAACAATGACGATGGCGAACTCGAACAGGAACGAGAAGCTCCTCGCGTTCATCGCCGGGCTGAGCCCGCAGCAGATCCTCGACCTCCTCCCCGAGAACGTCGTCAGCGGTCTTTCCGCTCTCCTCTCCCAACATCCTGCTGGCCAGGATGGAACCTTTCAATTCCAAGGACCTGTCACCGTCGTCAATGGCAGGTCTTCGTCGGGCAGCACTCTCGGTTCTTCCTCGCCTCTTGGCTCCGGCCTGAGTCCTGAGGGTGCGTCGGGTGATGAGCCTGAGGTGAAAGTAGAGAAGGCGAAGAGGCCTTTGAATGCCTTTATCGCCTTTCGAAGTAAGTTTGATTGGTTCCTCTCTCGTTTTTCTTTTTTATCCCCGGTTTTTATTCTTCCGCTATCGTTCCTACGTTAAACTTGAAATGGTCTAATTCTTTTAAACTTTCGTTCAAGGCTATTACAAGACCATTTTCCTCAAGTCCCCTCAGAAGGAAGTCTCTTCGTACATCACAGTCCTCTGGGCCGGTGAACACTTCCGCAACAAATGGGCTCTCATCGCCAAGGTGTACTCCTTCGTACGCGACGAGGTCGGCAAGGACAACGCCAACGTCGCTGACTTCCTGGCGATTGCCTGCCCCATTATGCTGATCGTACCTCCCGAGTCCTATCTCCATGCGCTCGGTTGGGTCCAGGCTCGCGACTCCTCGGGACACGCCTACATCACGCAGGATCGGAACACTGCGCAGGCGTTCATCACGGCTATCGAGAACCAGCCCAGCCCCGCGACGGAGCTCGATCTCCTTGTCCAGTGCACGCAGGCTGGATACATGGCACAGTGCTCTGACGTACTCATTGAGAAGCTTGCGAACAAGCTCAATACTATCATGTCGCCCAACGTCGTGTCTTCGGCCAATAGCGACCAGGATATGATTCTCAATGGTGGCCAATTCTTTCCGAACGGCATAGATAACAACATGAGTATGAAAGCCGCGCTTCTCAGCCCCGCTACGACGGATATACAGATGGAAAACATGGAAGCTTTTGTCGATTAGGAGTCGACCTTGGCTCTCCCTGCCGAGAACACATCGACGGACAGCAACGGCGTCGACGCGGCCGACGACGCCGAATCCGTTTCCGCGAGCGGTGGACCCATCTGGGATCCTAACTATAATTACTTTCAGTATGAGACTTTCCCTGAGAAGACTTAGGACGATATTCTTTTTTTTTTCTTTATTACGGTCATGATACCAAGGAGTTGAAGAGGGAGGAGGAGGCGAAACTGAGCTGGCTCTGGAGTTGGCTCAGCATGGTTAGCATGGTATAGCATGGACCTCAGGGGAGGGTATTTCAGGGGAATTTTTTCTCTACGTAATGCAACGACTTGATGAATTTCACGAAATCAAAATGGTCTGTTCGAGGGAGGACTTTTGTTTTAGAAAAGTCAATAAACGAACAGTTTATATACCCTCAAATCTGGATGAAGTAATATGAGTTGTGCAAGTTTAGTGAGTGTAGGTTGATACGAGTCGGTGTCTTGCCGATGAACTCCTCGTGAGCCAAGTAATGTACTTTAAAATATCTTTCCCTCCTTCTTACCCAGTCTCTTGTGCTTAATTCAGCTTCGATCGAAGTCTGCCGGTTTGAACATGTCGGCTCCAGTGCCTCCATCACGATAAATTGACGATGATTTCCCCCTACAAAATCCAAGGTGCCCACCTGCCCGCTCCTTTCCCCTGCCAAGAGAAGGCAACATCCAGATCAAACCCCCTCCCTCTTTATCCCATCAAGGAAAACTGTTACCATGAAGAAAGATCGATTAATCCAGCCGCCCCGAGCTTTTTTTTTTTTTTTTTTTGTGCCTCTGCAAGGGATGAAGGTCCACGAGGATCATCGTCCAGGTTTTAATGTTCAGCCCAGCAGGACACAAGCTGCAAGGGAGGGGGGGTAGTCAACTTAGGCTTTGTCAAATTGGCCAATTACGTCTGTCCGTTTCGACGGGGGGGAGACCGAGACGGGGCGGGAAGCGGGGATGGCCCTGGTACAGTGGGTCGCTCCTGCTTGAACGGTGGGGGCAGCGGGGGTCTCGGGGGCGTGGAGATAATTTAGAGGGGGGTGTGGGTTGGAGATGTTGCGGAGGAGGTGGGTGGACCCGTGGACTTGGGACGGACGGAATTTGGGGGGGATTTGGAGAGGGGGAGATGGGATGGATTTGGCTGCTATACTATATAGGTACTATATCCCATATCGAGCTCCCTTCTTAATTCTTTCCTGGTTCAAATCTTTCCGTGTTTCCATGAGTCGCTCATCACGACACACCCTCATTGGGCAAGCCCACCGTTTCATGCGGCCCGTAAGTTGACCGTGGCAAGTGGCAAGGACGAGGCACCTCATCACTTTCATGCCGTTTGGCATCGAACTCGACATCACAGTTCAGGGTCAGCTGAAGACCGCAGCGCAAAGTAACCTCTGCCGGCATCCACAAACCGACTAGTACACCGGCTCTCGAAATGAGAGCCTCCCTCGTCCAGATCAGGAAATAGAGAATCTGCAGGCCGGCCAAACAACGTCTTACCAGCATGGTAGGACAAACAACATGGACAAGGTCCCCCCCACTTCAAACCTGGTCTTAATCCTCATTTTTTTCACCAAAACCCGGTATTGGCGACGTCTGTCACACGTAACGCAGCTTTCTACAAGTACGAAAGTACACGACACGCTTCGAACTTGGGCAGGTAATATTTGTTTGCTTTCGTACAGGTTGCACCGCCGTGTTGCAAGGGCGAGTCCGAGCTTTTTTCTTTGCCCCGCTTCTCCACGTGCTCGAAAATATTACCGAATTCAGACGATTTTTTGGGCTTGAACAAGAAGGGGTTGCCTGGACCTAGATGAGGGGACAGACACACTTGCAGGATTGATATTGGATTTCTCGAGTCGTGTTTCCTTTGATCTCTCTCTCTTAGACTATCTTCCTTCTTTCTCTCTCTTTTCGGTCCCCTTCTCTTGTTTCTTTATTCACTTTTCTTTTTCATATTTTATTTCCCGGAGTGCGTTTTTTAAGAGAGCGGATACATACATACCTTCCCTCTGCTCTGCTGTCACAACCTCAGGCCGAAAAAAAAATGATTCGTCACAATCACAAATCGTTGCTGTAAGACAAACACGAACTCTTCTCTCGCAGCCTGCAGCCGCCCCAACTCTGCATACGCACCCTTCGACATTGTCTTTTTTTTACTTTTGGGGGAAAACACCTGATAGGTTCCATCGGGCGGTGCGAAGAAAAACTCGCTCTCTCACTCGCACATGACTTGTTTTCCTTGTTTGCTACTCTTGCTTATCTTGGACAAACTCATGTAGGACGGTGGAGATGGAGAATCAGGGCAGATGCTGATGTGTTGAGGAGGTATCTTTGTGTTTTATGGATGCCGATGGCGGAAGGGCGGGAATAATAAGAAATAAAAATAAGAAAAAGAATGAAGAAAATAAAGCACATAAAATATTACGAATATAAATTGAGAAAGCTAATTGAGAAGATAAACTAAGAATATATATATATATATATATATAAAATAAAAAAGCGCGAGAATTAAATAATGCAGAAAAAGAAGAGAGCGTTGGGAAGAAATAGTAGATTGTCATCTTTGCCCCAAATAAATCGATGAGACCCAAGCCGATAATACGAAGTACCCTAATCCGAGAGCTCTTGGGCCTCGGATGGCAGCCTCATATAGAACAAGACAGAAAGAAAATCCCACCAAAAAGCCATGTTCATTTAAATACTCGCTAATACATCTACAAACTACGGTTCCCACGAAGAAAAGAGGACGGCGGCCTGTCTGCCTGTCTGCCTGCCTAGTCCCCTTGACCATGATGACGCAAGAGCAACAAATAACCAGGTTGACTCAAGTAACATTCTCACCCTTCCCTGCTTCTGCGCATCATCACCAACCGCGAACCCATCTTACACACCCCCCGGCGCACTTCCCCCTCCCCTGCTTCCAAGTTAATCCCTCTCTTACTCTTCTTGGTACGAAATCTTGCGCATTTCCCCGAGCCGGATACGAGCTGCCGATAGAGCATTTTCGAGCTGGAGGATTTCGACCTGTAGACACATCAATCGTTAGAAAAAAAAAAAAAAAAGAAGGTATTTTCCCAGTGCAACCAGAGTAAACAGATGGGGAGAGAGGGGGAAAAAAATGGTATGCTCACCTGCTGCTCCATCTCGCGCACCTTGAACTCGTGCGCCCCCAACTTCGAATAATCCACCTTCTCCTCCCCCTCCTGATTCCTCTCCCTAATAATCGCCTGCACCTGCCTTACAAGCGCCCTACACGCCGCTCCCACAGCCTTGCTCGCCTGCTCCAGCTCGTCCTGGCTCTTGCTCATGAAGCCCGCCTTGACGCGGCTGGCCGCCACGAGCTGCGCCGTCGAGGCTGCCACATCGTTGGACGCCACGATGAGCTGCTCGGGGCTGTTTCTCCCAGAAAGGACGCCGTCCGCCGTCTCGATGAGCGTGTTGGTCGACGACGCTACGGCCTTGGCTGCCGAGATGAGACCTTGCGTCCATCGATTGTTCTTCTTGTAGAACGCCGTGCGTGACGACGAGCCGCGGCCCGCCTGCACGATCTCCTGCTGCGTCGCCGTCGCGGCCTTGATAAGACGCGCAATGGCCGTCGTGATGGCCGTCGCGGCGTCGAGGATCGAATCGTGCACCTTCAGCTCGTACGTCGAGTACCCGTCGCGCGGCTTGTTCTTGAGCTTGGCGAGGCGCGCCGCAGCCGCCGCGATGGCATCCGCCGCCTTCGACAGCTCCTGGTCCACGAGGTCACCGAGGTCGCCTTTACCGACGAGCTTGCCGAACGTCGGCGCAAAAGTCTCCACGAGCTTGTTCAGCTTCTGCAGGTTGATCTGCACGTCGTTGTTATTGTTAATAACAACGTCCGTCTTCTGGATCGGGTCCATGCCGTCGAGCCGGAAGCTCTGCACGGCGCGGAAGAACCGGACCGTCGCCTGCGCTGACTGCCGCGCGCCACCCATGAGGTTGTCGCCTTGCTTGTCGTCCGCCGCGAGGCGGAGGAGGCCCTTGGTGTTGGTGCAGACGTCACCGATGGCGCCGGCGAAGACGTTGATGGCCTTGATGAGCTCGGCGTGCGAGGCGTTGGGCCCATCTGCGATAAAGTTGTTGAACGCCGTGGCGAACTCCATCGCGCTCGCCGACGTCTTTTCGATCTGCGACAGCACGTACGTCGGCGACGCGTTCTGGTTACCTGCCTGCATTGTCGAGTCCAGCTCGTACAGCGCCTCATCCACCCGATGGACGGCGGACTGCAGCACCGAGTCTATGATGTCGTTAATCTTGTCCAGGTTGGCCAAGATGATGGCGTCAATCTCGCCGTCGAGCGCATGGTCGGTCTCGCCATGGTTCTGCTTGAGCTCGTTAAGCTCGAGAAGGGTCTGGTCCATACCCGCCTTGTATACCTCGAGCTCCTCCTCCTTCTCGCGGAGCAGCTGCTCGAGGTCCGAGCTGCCGTCGCGCAGCTTGTTCTGAACGTCTTCGAGGGCCCTCGATTTATTGCGCAAGGCCTCCTCAAGGTCGGCGATCTCGCGGTTATACTTTGACAGCATAGCGGACAGCTCGTTGCCCTTGCTGCGCTCGAGGTTGTCGGCACGGTCGAGAGCCATGCGCAGCTCGCGCTTGAGCTTCTCGACCTCGTCCTTGTTAGCGCCGCTGAGGCGGTCCTTCTCGTGCAAAGCGCGGTCGCGCTCGCGGATCATGTCGGCGAGCTCGAGGTTCTTCGTCTTGATCTCGCGCTCGAGCTTTTCGCGCTTGTCGATGGCCTCCTGCGCGCTGGCCGCCTTGAGCTGTACGGATTTAAACTTTTGCAAAAGATCAAGATGCTCGTGTCGAAGCTGGGAGTAGAGCTTGGCAAGAGCCTCGTACTTAGACCTCCAAGTATTGACCTGCTCCTGCAGCGCGCGGATCTGCTCGTCCTTGCTAGTGATTTGCTGACCGTAGTTGGCCTGGAGAGACAGTATCTCGCCTTCAAGTCCTTTGACACGCTGGTCGTATTGCTGTAGCATAAGCTGATCGCGCTCGTACTGGGCCCTGGCGTTCAGGTTCTCCTGCTCGAGCTCGGCTAGTCGGCCCTGAGTCTGCCATTGCGCTTGCTGGGCCAGAAGACGCTCCTGCTCTAGTCGCTGCTGCTCAGCCAACTTGCGTTGTTGCTCCTCGAAGTCGCGTTGGGCCTGCAGTTGAGCCTGCTGCTGGGCTAGGAGTGCTTGCTGTTGCTTCTCTTGAAGGATTCTCTGCTGCTCCTCGTATTCGCGGTTTTGACGATCGAGCTCGTTCTTCCAGAATTCGTTGATCTCATCTGGCGCATCGTTTTTCGGTGCGGGAGTCGGTGAGGGAGCCCTCTCAATCTCTTGCTTCGGCCTTGCGGGGAGCGCGGGAGCTTCGTCATCGACGGCAAGGAGGTTGGGTGGGTCCTGCGGAAGTTTGGGGACGCTGATGAGACTGGTAAGGTATCGTAGATTCGAGCATTCGTAGTAGAACTTGACTAGGCGGTAATGTTGGGCGCCGTATCGCTCACGTAGCGGTTCTAAGGCTTCGTCATCGCCGGTGGCTGAGGGAAGTTAATGTTAGAATGACGTCCATTATGTGGGGCCCATATTTTAAGCCCGACGTCGTACGCGGTACGTGCAAAATAGCAGAGCCCAGAGGCAGCACATAGTGAGATGCACTTACAGGAATGCATTGCCCTCAGCATGCTCGTAATAAATTTATAGATTCCATAGCTCTCCTGCACCAGCGGCACCAGCGCTGAGATACGACACTCATTGTTGCCCACGTGCCGGAAATGGGAGAAGATGAGCTTCTGGAACTGGTCGATCCTATCCTGCAGCGTCATAAGGTCTGTAATTGTCTCGTATCCTTCATTAGGGTCGTTTATGGCCTTGAGACTGAGGTACTCCTCGTACTCGAACGTGCCGTTGAATTCGGGGTGCTGTCGGTGGAACGAGAGCTTGGCGAGGAGGTAGTTGACGTAGTCTCGGATAAGCTGTCCGTAGCCTCGAATACCGTCTCCCGAAACCCCGCGGTTGAGGCTGTCGATCCAGCTACGGTTCGCCATGGCTTCTTTGAGGGTATTAGGGTGACCTTCTTGGAGCACCTTGTGGATGGTGATGAGGGCCTTGAAAGTTTGTACTTCATCGGCGAGAATGGGTTGGCTGTGGAACAGCAATGATGCAGGTTAGATTTGGCGCCATCTGAGCAACTTCGAAGCTCGAAGATCAGCGGGATCGAGGAAGAACATACACCTTCATGCCGGTCCAAAAGGCATGGGAGGACCTATGGTCCCAGGTATACACAATACAGCTCCGTACATGTTTACGCTTCGGCGCCGTTTCGTCGGGACTCGTTGCCTTCTTGATACTAATGTTGAGATCTTGGTCGGTCCTGGAAAAAGTGACAACAGCATATTAGAATTGTGCGAGACAGATTCGAAGGGAAAAGGGGGGCAAGAAGCAGTAGGAGTAGCATTGCGTTCTCAGCGAGCTGTTTCGAGAAGATGACATACTTGGTATGTGTTATGGTCGACATCTTGAAGCTCGCAGCTGCCGATCAGCAGCTTCGCAGTTCCGGACGATATCAACACAATGAGATAGGACGAAAGCAGAACGAAGAGTAACAGGCCGACATGCCCTTGACTCGTTAATAGCTGACGTCTGAGATGCTCGATTGACTTGGGCTAGGCTGCCAGTAATAGCGCTGTGTCGTGAGATTAGGAGCGTCATCACGTGATATCTTACGTGGCCCCTGCACACCCTGCACATGCAAAGTTGGCTGTAAGTGACATCCGCCGCGTTCCTTCCAGTTTATTTCGAGGAATTTATCTCGGAATAGGTTTGCCAAGCTGCCGCCATTGAAAGTGAAACACCCTTCAGGGCGACAGACGCAGTCAATAATGATTCCTTTTCCTTTTTCTATGCGACTACGAAGTAAATATTCTCTCTGTTAATTCAGTACGATGTCGTACACAGTCACCTACTCATGTCGAGAAACAAGCCAAACTTGACCCGTCAAGTGAGCTTACACCGAAAAGCTATTTGCAGCCTCACATCTATCCCTTCTCGCGTTTGGATGCTCAATTGAACCTTCCGCCACCCTTCACGGAAGTCCTCCTCTAGCTTGAATGCCGGCCCCGCTAGACAATTGCACAGCCTCCTCGGATGGCCCGGGAGGCCATGAGCTTGCCACATTCATGGGGTTGGGTTCTTTTTTTTTTTTTTTTTACCAGAATTTGCAAATAGAAATTTGGGAGGCGATCTGGACGAGCACACCGTCGTCTCCCTACCCAAATTATATGGTGAATCGCTAGGGAACGCTGGAATGGCGGACTCATCTCCCATATAGGAACTAGTGACATCTTCCCCGGGCACAGCGGGTGATTATCGAGTCATCGTCGTCGTGCCATGTGTTCCCAGGGCTTCGACTGAAAACCAGCTCCTATACTTCGCAAATTGAGGGAGTGATATAATGCCCCAAGAAGACGAGCATCAACCCCCTTAGGCGCATGTAAGACCTGGATAGTTCCACCGTTCGCCTCCGAAAGCTTCTGAACGGCCCTACGGAGCGAGGACACGAGATACGGAGATTCGGTGTACGATCCTCCGAGGAGAACGTACTGTCCCAAGAGTTAGAGAGTTCCTCCCCTAATCCCTCAATACATTAGAAAAGCGGTGCGGAATACGTACCGAAATCTTTCCACCCTCAGAGTGCATCCTCCCAATGCAAAGCTGAAGCGCCTTCACAACCATATCGACCGAGGGCTTCAGGCAGCTCAGGATCTGTGCACCGCTAAAGGCCAAGCTTCCACCGAACCCGGGAGCGCCTTCGGGAGCAATGTATCGGACTATCCAGTTTCGCTCATGGCATTCTTCCGTATCGTCGAATTGCCGAATGAGTTCCCGGAACTGCTGGCTGCAATTTTTCAGCATCTCCTTCAGCTCCATGCGGCTGATACTGTAAATAGAGCTTCGGAGCTTTGCAATCAGCCTCGTGCGGCAGTGGCTGGCGAACAAAGTTTGCGCTCGGTTCAGTCTGTGTCGTGAGTAATAGGTTAGCAGGGCGCCGACTTCCTCGCCGGGCGTTCATAGATGTTTTACGCCTGAAAAAGAAGAGGGGGAAGGAATAAATATGAGAGGGGGCGGGGAGGGAGAGAGAGAAATCCTCACCCTGCGCATTCACCGATGTATCCCTGTTGATACTCCCACATCACAATGTGGAGTGGCGAGACGGGCTGGAAGATCAGTGGAGTGCAGTCAACCATTATCTCGTCCGCATTCAACACAACAATACTCCGCGGCAGGGTGTGATCCCTCAGATTTTCGAGATTCAACCCCTCCCAATGAAAGAAGAAATTTGTAATGGCAATCGAGTGCGGGATTACCCTTGCGTGGCGCATCAGATTGTCGTCCGAGAGCATATTCGTCAGCCACTCCCAGCCCATTCGATGCAAGAAGTCGGGAATAGTGTAGACCATAGAGTTGAGCTGTTGTTCAGATAGAGGACTCCCTTCTTTGTCCTTCGACAGGAGCTGGCAGAGCTCAAACTCCTGCATTTGCAGTTCTGTCGCATAAACGGAGGGGTTCATAGCGGAGTCCCCGATAAAGTTCCAGCTTTGGCCCGAAAATCCAGCCTCTCCGGTTTCGTCGAGCCAGAATCGGGGGTAGGGCATCTCAGCTGCGGGATCGGGATTGCCGGTGAGCAACGGCCCCTTGTGTCTAAACGATGACAATCTCCGGACAAGTTTCTTCATTCCAATCATCAATGACGATGGCGCCTCCCTTTCCAGGTGCTAAATGAAATACGTCAGTGCTAACAAGAAGCGAGGAGACCTCAATCCGTCATGGCCCGGCGTGAATACCTACAGGACATTTGCACAAGGTAACCGTCTCCTCTACACATTTTGTCATAGCTACAGTACCTGTGGTCCCAAAGCAGAACATGAAAGCCACTGAAGGATGCTCTGTAGACGCAGGTAACGGCCGTGTACAAAGTAAATGCGAAGGGCCAGAGGATTCTCCAGGCCGGGGTCCACCGATATTACCAACAATTTTCGGCAACATCCATTTCGGCTTCGCCCATTGCGTATTCGGCTCGAAAAGCCCTGAGGGCTGCCGAATTTCAAATGCTGGGAGTTCGACCGACACCCTGGTCTCTACCACAACTGTAGTCCCACCTACTTCGGGTCCTGAAGTCCTTGTTGTATGGCTGTGGACAGTTTGTAGAGCAGGCGGCCCTGAACCCAGGTCTTGATCAGCTCCATCGTGGTTGATATCTTGGCTCTCAATTCCAATTTCTTGGCCGGAACGCGTGTCCGCGTCTTGGGTAACTTTCACTTTGCGTTTCTGGCCCCTGTGAGGGAGACTAGAATCGTCGGATCCTTCGAGACGGACCGAGGCAAGGCTACTATTGCTATCAGTGGAATCCTCGGCCCGTACTTGCCCCGTCAGATCTTGTGGCACATGGGCCTCTCCAGATAATTGGACTAAAGTGATATTCTCGAACATATCAGCGTCTTCGGCCTCTGGATGTGCTGTATCGACACCTTCCAAGGAGTCTAGTCGGTCAGAGGACCTCAAAGAAAGCATCGATCGAAAGGGCCGCGGATTAGGCAGGCGTTTCGCAATAGTGCTGCCCTGTACCTCATTTGGGGGTCGTTCGAAAGCTAGAAGAAACCTGCTTGAAAACGACCCTTGGCTCTCAACTGGACCTTCTAACAATACTTCTGCATTCTTCGCAAACACCTGACAGATCAAGTTCCGATCTTTTAAGAGGATTTGCAAAGGGAACATCACCAGACTACTTTCGGTACTCAGAGTGTGCCAAGTCAGGGGCAAGGAGCGTCTCACAGCCTCTCCCTCGATAGCGGCACCCTTCCTCTCACAAGTTATGGCGAAAATAGTTAAGCAGGCGCAGTAGCTGGGGCTCTCTTTTCCCGCAATCCTTCTCTTCGCACGCAACACAGCCTTGCAGATGTTGTAGGCATCATCGAAGCGAGAGTCCTTAAGATGAGCAAGAGCAACTGCCTCCAGGAGATCGTAGATTGGCAGGCTCTCGGGAGATTTGGACTTGGGTAGCGAGAAGAGTAGGGAGGATGCCTCATCCCATTTTTTGAGGGCGCAAAGGCAGAGAGCGAGCCGAAGCTGTAAGGAAGTGAGCGTACGTTTAGCGGAGGGACCGCTGGTGGCTTTCACAATTGCCGTTCTCAAGCATTCCTCTGTTTTGGGATAGTTCCCTTTCATGAAACTGTCATAGGCGAGCTCTTCCAGGTTTCGGCAGAAATCGAGTTCTACATCAGACTCGCTGGAAAGCGATTTGGCATCATCTTCATTGGGGTCGACAGAGCGATGGGGGTTTATGCCACGGTGCTCCAAGTCCTTCTTCCCCTCTTTATCTGGCGCGGTCAGAGTCGTTGACGTGTCTATTTGTGTGGGAAGAAGGCTACCACCTTCTTCGGTCACCATACCTCCAGATTCGGACCCCGGAACAATGGGCAAGCTGTCATTCCAGAGTTCAATACGATTCCTCTCTTCGTCAGTGAGAGCAACGCCAAACTCGCTTCCCCCCCACATTGATGACCTCGTGCTGGCCGCGTAGCTGGTTTCACGGTGGAACTTCCGAGCCGCTTTGGCGAGTTCCTCGAGGTTTCGAGCCTGTCGCGCGGCGAAGGGATCGATGGGCCTTGGCTGCTCCTTCTCTTCCCCTTCCTGTTTCCCTTCGCTCTCTCTTTCGGGTTTGCTGTGAACTGCTTTCACAGCCTCTGCGATTAATCCCCTGAGCTGTTGCAGCTCTTGGAAGAGGCTATCCTGGCTCGCATTTGCACGGAAGGTCAAGGATCTGGTCCGAAATTAGCAACTAATACTCAGGGTCTCGAGGCTCTTGACAGTAGTGGAGGCGGCTGGAACTTACACATTCACGACAGACAGAGCGGTCTGCATAGCACAATTGCATTTGTAAATCTTATCAGTAAACTCCTGGATTTCGTTACTCCGAAGGCTATACCGGAAATGAAGACCTGGGCTCTTGATAAGCTTAACAAAGTTCTTTGCCTCAGTGTCGTAGGTGCTCGTCAGTCGCATGACCACCCGGTCTAATTCATCGACGGTGACCTTGCAGTCAACGAGTGCGTTATCGATTTGCCGCCACATATGATCGTCCAGGTGGCCGAGAGCCAGGGTCTGGGTACTACATTGCTTCACGGTCTTTTCGACAGAGGCTAGGAGTTTTGCTAGACGGCTGACTTCTCCTGAGAGATTTATGACTTTGGTGTCAATGTTCTTAACATCGTTGATGAGCTTGAGGAGCGAGGAGGAGAACTTTAACGATGGTTAGCCCCAATATGATGAATTAGCTAGAAGTAAATACTCTTTGCAAGAGTGTTTCCCATCTGCTCGAAGATGGAAGATGAACCTACAATGGAGGTGCTCCCGGCCAGTGATGCCGCACCGGCGGCGATAGACAAAGGGTTCATATCGATTGTTGCTCCTCGCCCTTCAATATTCCTCTCCAGCGACGGTCGGAGTGCGGGGGTCAGTTGAACTCTCATTCAATGAGAATGGCGTTATTGCGGGATGGAAGAAATCGCAAATGTCTCTCTAACCGCGGCCAAAGATGTGATATGAGCCAAGGCCGTTGCAACAGGGCGGGAAAGAGTCTACGGAAATATTGAATCACGGCCACAGCTCAAAGCAGACTGCCCGTAATTGGTAAAGCTCTCACTATCATATCAGCCACCGTCGAGGTTCTTGGGACCAGGTTGTCAAACCTGGGTCAGGAAGATATTGAATTACTCGCTGTCTCATTGGCCGAAGTACCCAGCTTCCACCATATTTAAGCCCCCTTCCCATTTCAGGAGCATAGATCAGTGTCGGCCGAGACGTCGAGACAGGGCATCTCGTAGTGGACATCTCGTAGTGTACCAGGTCAGGTCATGTATGACCTTTGCCTCCCACAACGAAATACACCACCTTCTTCCCGGTCGGACCAGTCAATCTAAGACAGAGCCATGGGAAATTTCTCTGCACTGAGACAGGATCGTAGATAATAGGAGCCATCGATGACGAGTAAGAGGCCAATCGCCCGAACTACAAATTCTAATCCAGGCGACCAGCATTCACCATGATAACGCCAGCTTCACAGGCCGCAGAAACGGAAAGGCCTTCCACATCGACATTTTGTTAGCACAGTTTACCAACTCTCCTCGACGACCGACAACTGCACGTCGTATGTGGAGGTACTCCAGTTGGGGACACTTCCCCGTTGCCGAGACCGACATTATCGAGTGGATCCTTCGGCCATTTGAGCGGTTCTTCACCGATCTCGCGCCGAACTCGGCGCCGGGAAGCGGGATTATCTGGCCCGGGATTTTTTACGTCGCGCTATATACTCACCATGGATGGGGAATTGCGACGACAGCGGCGCCTGATTGGGCAAGCATCCCTCTCTTCTGCCTGGAGTCTGGCTCGATGAGGGCAAGGTCTTAGATGGTAATGAGACGTGGACGTATCTAATACGATACGTCCAGGGTCTTCCTCAGCTTTGGCGATCCCGAAGATGTGCCACGCAAGTGGCTCCGAAGGGTCTTTATCAGCAATGTCAAGACAACTTCAAGACAACCTGCTTATTTGAGCTGTGCAACTCCCCACCGCAGACTGCAACCAGGCTTCGGGCATACAAGAAGATTAGTGCGATTAATCCGGATCCTCCACCTCATTATGTGCCGCCTTCACGGTGTCGTGGTGAGTGACTAGGGCTATATATCAGGGTTACTGTAAGCTACATCGACCCCGATGAGCTCCCAACTTCTCCGGGGCCGCCGTGGGTGACATACCTTAACGCCGTCATCGCCGACGTTATCTGGGGGATGTCACGGCAGAGAGCGTTCTCCTCGATAGAGACGCTAATGCTTGGATTATCGATTTTGGCTTTCTCTAAACCAAGGGCTGGGTCGATAAAGAGTTTGCTGGGACAGTGGAAGGTGGCCTGGGCGGAATGGCAAAGCTGAGAGGGTTTATCAGGATTGGTCTGTGTCCATTTGGGGAAGCAGGGGCAGTATGAGACGGAGAATCCTTAACATTTAGTTTGGAGAGGAGCACACTCACGCAATTATCGGCATAGAACCCACAAGAAAGCAAGGCGTGGCTAGCTTGTCTTTCGCCACTGAGGCATCTTTCTCTAGCTCTATGTCCGACCAAGGCAGCAAGGATTTCTGGTGTCTTCCGGCGCATCACCCCGCCGGGACTGATATGAACGGATGCTTGTTTCCCCAGGGAACTAGCAGAAAACTCACAGTGATGGCTTGCCGCCGTTCGCTTCGGCGCGTCTACCCGGAACCGCGGTCAGCCCTGGGCCGGGATCTAGATGTCGACGATGACGACCTCCAGCGAAGAACCAGGGCTGCAAATGGAGACGTAATAGCAATCATTTTATCGTCCATCCATCATAGTTGGCTGTTTGAACCAGGTAATGGGTTGCAACCAGCTGAAGCGAGTATCAAGGCGTTCCTCCTTCTCAAGCTCCAATGGTCCCGTCTACACTGCTTTCTCCCTTTTCCGCCTTCCCCTTCCTCGCCGTAAGTGACGATCTCTACTGCTCCTTTGTTAAACCCCCGATGTCGTCCCTAGCAGAAGCCGACGTGAAAACTGGTCCGCAGCGATATGCCGAGTGGGCTGAATATCTGCTCTGAGAGCGGCCTCTGCAAGACATTATGACGACAACTTACAAAGACTTTGATGAAGGCTGGCCGATTATAGGCAAAGGTCAATCGCGGACAAGCGCCGACAAATCGGCGGCACGGCCGTCTGGGAAATCGTAGACGAAAAGGACCATAGCTCCGCGGTGTACCTCCGCTTGAAGGAGCCGGCACCCAGAGATTCCTTCTTCCAAACTCGGCCGAAACGTCTAGTTCCGGAGCTCGGCGGCCCCGAATCGCCGGAGCAGCCGGCGTACGTATCTGGCGGTGTAAAAAAACGGAGACTGGATGAGGAAATACTACAAAGAGAAATGGGCTGAGTGGTCGGGGAATTCGGAAGATTTCCCTTCGAATCAGCTCTATGAAATAGTCACACTGCTACTTTCATTTTTACGGCTCGGCTCGTACGAGTCTACAAGATGCACATTCTGGCCTACACCCTCTAAAATCGGTATCCATTGATGTACAAAGGTAAAGCGAGCCACAATATCAAGCCGCGTGTCAATCAAATCTTCAAAACATGTACGCTAAGGCGGCCCAAGGGAACCAAGATCGATAGATCGAGCCTGGCTGCGGGAAAAAAAAGTAAAGCCCTGCAGCTGTCAGTGACGGCATCTCTTGACAAAAAGCAGCGGGAGGGGGGGAAGGGAGTGCCACGAATGTCTTACATGTCCGCTTATTCGAGGTGCTTTGCTTTTTCTTTTCCTTTTTCCTCTTACTCCTACACGCCCCCCCTTTTTCTCACCAGCTCTCAGGGGAGGCTATTTCAGCCAAAGTGAGTTGGGCACGTACAGAAGTGAAGGATGGCGGAGATGAAAAACATCCATGGTAAGTGGAGCTGGAGAAGAACCGATGTGCAAATGTGCAAATGGATATGGACGCGGAAAAAGGACTCGATGATGTGTGCGTAGCTGTAAATGTGGAGTGGAGGCAGTCGGAGAGTTGGGCAGGGATCTAGGAACAACCTTGAGGATGAAGATGTGTGGTTTGGCTTACACTTCAGCTGGAGTTTGTTCGCGGTCCATCTTGACGCCCTGGCCTCTGGGTGGGGGATGAGAGAGACGGAGAGATAGAGGTCACCACAGATCCGTTACTTTCGCTTGAGGAGAACGGCAGCTCGGTTCGCGCAGGAGCAACGTCAAGCCGTCCACGGTCCTGGCTTAGGATTCTTCTAGTTTACTCAGTACCGAACGCCTCTGGGTTCCGCCTTGCCGATATTACGACGCTGTCCCCACGAAGACACATTCGATCCTCCTTCGTTTGCGGCGGAGCTACCCCTTTCCATTTCTTGGGACGCGATTCTTGGTCAAGGCGTGCACGCACGGCCAGATCATGATACATATCGAAAAACTACCCTTGCTCTAGCCTATCACTCTTGCTTACACCCTTCACCGCCTAGGCTTCTCCACTGCAAATTTCCTCTTTTCCGCGCCACGATCGAACTTCTGGGGTGGAGAGACCTGCGAAGGCACACCGGTTTTCCTTCACATCCCTTCCACGTCACCGGAAACGCAAGCCCCATGTAAAATCCCTTGGACTTTCGGCACAGAAGAAACCCCAAGGCGGAGATTTACACGCCCAAGCACTGTTACGAAAGAGGACACCGTTTCTTGTGTGGGGGCGTGTTGTGGAGTAACAGTCTAGGATATACCTTGTCAAGCATGGACGAGGCGATCTTCTCACTCACCGAAATCACACGAGAGGAGGTCGCCAACGGAAGAAGTTAACAACACATCATAGATCCCGAGCCAACTCCCGTGTGCTCATTCCGAGATATGGACGTCCCCTGTCTATATTATACAATACGCCCGAAAGTGAAGCGAAAACACAAAGCCCGCATCCGATGTCAAAACACGCAACCCGAGAATGTTCATGCACGCCCAATTCATTCATAAATGGAGAATTAGACTAATAGTTGACAATGCATGAATCATGGAAACTAATAACGCCTCAATTTTCTTTTTCACTTTCACTTTCACTTTCAGGTTTCGTTTAAAACCCGAAAAGTTGGAGCGACTTGGGTCTGGATCTCCACCTCAGCTCCTTGTGGTGTCAAGTATTTTCTGTTTTTGGGAGCGAGGTGGTAGCCAAGTATTACGGGGGAGGCGAATACTATCGAATATTAATGTTCTGTCTTTCCTCAAAGAGAAGAATTGAAGAACCGGATTCGTGATTGGGTAAGCCCGAGGCGAATGTGAAGGCTTTAGTTGTGACAGCTTGGTGCCCGAGGGAAGTGAGGCCTGAATTCTGTGAGACCTCAGGGAATGTAAGTGTTGGAAGCAGCGAACTCGAGCATCCCCGATGGGAATCGAACAATGAATTCCCTAATTCCTTTTTCTTGGAAGTCAGGGAGGAGATGGAGGTGAATGGCAACAGTGCCATGGACATCAAGACATAGACATGCAATTCTTCGCTCTGTAGAACCAACCTATCGTAAAACCCGAATCCCCAGGATACCTTCTTTCCTGTACTTTCTAGACCGTTAACTCCCCATCCCGAAGAGAGCTCATATCAGTCTCGCTTCCGTTCCATGAGTGGCGGGAAGCAAGAGCCAACATCTGAGCTACCCCGTGTATTAATTCCGCCATCGAAAAGACTCCGTAGAATATATAGTACATATAAACAACAGTGATATGAATCCAAACCAGCTAATCTGCGGAAATCTGGATAGAATAGTTGTAAAAGCCGGAAACCGAACCGTAAAAAAAAAAAAATCACATCGGGCAGGTTTCTTATTGCTCATCATAAGGCGGCAGGGGAGTGGCTGGCCTATTCTTTGCAACCTCCTTCAGCTCAGGCACCGTAAGCATCAGCTCCCTTAGCGCCTGCCTCTCCGATCGGTAAAATTCTCGTTGCCGCGTCAGCTCGATCACGCGGCCGCCGAGATATCGGTTCTCCTCCTGGAGCTGCGCCATCTTGGACTTTTCCTCCGCGGCCTGGTCGGCTTTCCGGCGTCTGTAGCGTGCCGACGCATCGGCGTTTTTCTGTCGTTTGTCTCCGGCTTCCTTGGATGCCGTGTAAGTGTCGATCCGCACGAGGAACATGTCCTCTACGGGCTTGTTGAGGGACGCCATGTGGGGCGCCGTGACGACGTCGCCCGTCACCATGGGACCTTGCAGGCCGGAAATTGGTGGTAGGCCTCCTGGATGCATTCCGTGATGGTAGGCGCCTGGAGCGCCGGGAAGTCTAGGTACAGGTGATGAGTAAGAGATTTGGTGGGTGGACGCGTATGACGCATGCGGATGTGCTGCGCCACCGTAGTCGGCGATGTGAGGTGAAGCTTCCATATGATCTGCGGCTATTCATGTCAGTTACAGAAACATGGATATCCCGTTATTTACGTGTTGAGATTAGAAGAAGTAGACGAAAACTTGGGTCAACGGACCGGCATGTGGATAGGACGCTGGGGTCCGTAGTCCGCTTGGACTGTTCGAAGGGACCCGAGAATTGCTGCGAGAAGGGGGCGTTGAGATAGGAACGTCGCTCGTGTTCCCGCTATTGATGTCGGACTCGGACATCATGTCGTGTTCGGAAGACCCCTCATTGAGGAGGGAATAGAGAGCTGATCGTCGCGGAGCCATGACTTGGTAATGATTTTGAAGGGCTTGATCAAAGGACCTTAGGTCAACTCTCCACCAGATGCCGGGTTAAGATTTGCAATCGCAATGGGGATGGGGTATTAATCGAAGAAGTCTGGGAAAGCGGAGACGGGAAGTGACAGAGTGGAGAAAAGGCCTTTATGGAAAGAATGGAGAGTGTGTCTTGAGTGAGAATCTGCGTCGCCAAGGTAAACCAGAACTTCTGGTCTATGCGAGTGATCGCCGAGTAGTGGCAGATTGCATGACGTTATATATCAGTCTACACGTCGAGACATCCTCTTAGACGAGGCGCGAGGGATGGCGTGCATCTGGGTGCTGCTGCTATGGATTCCCACCCCCGGCGGTCCCACTAATTCGTCTGGAAGCGAGTCTAAGAAAGTGACCCATCATGAGTATTCTAGCCCTGGTTGGGGAGATCTCCTGGGGATCGGGAGGGTAGGCGAGGCCACCAACAGCGAATGGTTAAGCCGTATCAGGTAATGCTGAGATGATGACGGGTTCGGTCAAATACTCCGGAGAGCCAGCCACTTGACAGGAAGCCTCTGTCAATAGAGCGTTGAGGCTGAATGCGCTACGTCGATTCGAAGGGGAGTAACCGCCACTAGGGAAGGCGATGGATAACAGACCCGCCTTAGGTTTTGATTCTTCATGTTCGTGATACTTGGCATGCAGTCTCTCATCCCTGGTCCGGGGCCAGGGGTTAGATTTTTGGGGGGCGGGGGGAAAGAAGGGGGGGTTAATCCACCATTCCTACCACCAGGTTGCTTCCATGGCTCGCCTGGCTCTGCCGTGAGACTTGCAAGATCCAACTGCCGGTAGGGCTGCTCCTGTGATGCGAGGACCAAGTAGTCTCCGAAAAGTTGCACAAGTTGGATCGGGGTCTCGGTAATGCAGATGCATGATGGCTGCGGGCCCGGGACTCCGGGATGAGGGGCCTGGGAAATTAACAAACAGATCTACGATCCTCGCCTAGAGATCAAAATTGGCCATTGTCTGAGTCGTGGAAAGCAGGTGGATGGCTGATAGCTGATGATAGCCTCTAGATGTTTATGGGTGCACCGGCCTATGAACCAGACGTATGACGTCTAAGAATCACCTACATCACTCGCAGGTGTTGTCGGGCAATTACTCGGACTATTACCGAAATGGTTCAAAGACATATGTTGTTATTCTCTGAGACAGGAAAGTATAATTTAGTATTTTAATGGCCACCGTCCTGGCTTTTTTTCCTTCTGAACCCGTCATATCTGACAGAAACCGTGGCGCGCTGGCATATTGCTAGAGAGCTCGTCTCACTTCATATGGGGTCTAAGGCTCATTGTTGTGAAATAGCGTGTGGTGTAGTTCACACATTTGCCATCAACGATGTATGATCTCCTTACTATGCACTGCTCTTGGCTCGGGCCAATCTCAGCATCATTGCGCATGCCCAGTTGCCCAGAAAAAGGTCTTGTTTTCCTTTTCTCCTTATACAAAGGGGCTCTGGAGGCAGGGCTTCTCCAGGTGGTGCTGCAACACCCCTGTCTTCGACCATAAACCGCAAGGCTAACGGGTGCAGCTTCAGCTTCGCAAGGGGCAATAGGCTGTCCGCGGAGCTAACGTTCCGGTGTCTCAGTGCGGTAGTGGTAACCCTGGTTGGTGGTGCGTGTGTGTCTGTGGGTGCCATGGTGGACCCTTCAAATGCGAATTAATCAAGGGTCCTCCTCACCAATTGATGAGTGAAGGCGCACATCTTTAATAGCTGTGTATAGTATAATTTGGCGTACAAGGACACAAGTCCGTATTGATGTTGTCGATGTTTGTGGGGGGTGTTTGTGGCGGCGTGGTCAATGATGATCCCTTCCAATGGAGATTGGATTGTCATTTCTCCCTTATATGTACCTGTGTACCTCGGTACCAAGATACCAAAACAAATTTGAACAGGTACCAGTTCCGCAATAAACATTTTCCGGAGGCCGAGATTATTTTGGGAAGGACCCAACCGGTTCCTTCACATGCCGGGTCCACTCCGGGAACCCGGTAACGGGTGGGTCCCTCGCACCTGCCGAGTTTATGAAGAAAAAAAATGCAGACATCCGGACCAGGAAACCTCGTGCACGGAATATGGAGTACGGAATACATACGAAGGAAGTAGCACTTACTTGACTTGAGCATGTGGTGTCTGCAGGCACGAAGTTACTCCACACTTCTGCTCTAGATGTGCCGTTTCATTGAGTTCCTCAATATCGTCGATTATTTCGTAGGTGGGGGTTAGTTATCTTGGCTGCGGCAGGCCAACCACAGGATCAACTAACCCTGAGACCTCGTGCAAACTAATACATCCTGTCCACGTTGGTTCAACCCCGGTTGTCAAATCAATTAATTTAATATTACTGACTTCAGGCTGCCCTTGACTGATCAGAGTTTCGTTGCCTCAGTAGGTTAGGTTATTGACTGTTGTAATTATGTACCAACTGTTGATGGGTTGATACTGCCCACTATAACGGGAGAGTCTGGAATCTAGAAGGTGCTCCTGCTGGATTGATTCGATCTGGTACGTCCCAATGCCTCCTTGTGTTCGAGGAAGGTCCGATCGAATCAGATCCATGGACGGCTTCACTTGTGCACCTTCACTTGTGCTTTTTGATACTTTTGATGAATACGACACTATTAGGACAAACTTGTGCAGTTAGTTGCATTTGACTCTTGATGTTCCACTTGATCTGCCCGAATCAATCAATATCAGGAACCTGACATCAACACACCAATGGTCATCAGTTCAAGCCAGGCAAGTCGGCTTTGCTCATCGTGCTATCACTCCATGAACGTCTCTGGGGCAAACCGCGTCCCGCCGCCTCACCGTTTGGTGTTGGGGCCAAGATCCCTGTTCATCAAGCCCTAGTGCTTCATAGCTCCCTCGCTTAGCCGTTAACCTACGAAACGGGACTCTGCTTCGGCGTTAATCTCTTCATTTTTTTTTTTTATTTTATTTTTTTTTTTTTTTTTTGGGGGTTTTAAAGATTTTTTTTATTTTATTTTTTTTTTCTCTGTCGTGGAATTGGCGGGGGAGCCACTCTGACCCGGATACCCCGGCCTTGCCTTGTCCTGCGAAGCGGCTTAAAACCACCAGCTGTCTGCGACTGTCTTGGCAAAACCACTGATGAGGTTAGAGTCATTGGACTAAACCGAAAATTGTATCAAATATAGCCGAGTGGTCAATGATGCCTAGAGAGCTACCGCTTAAGTTGTGAGCAGCTCGCAAATCACTGGCTTATTAATCTCATACAGGTACAACTCTGCCCAGCGTTCATCCGCCAACACCCGCATTTTCTCCGAGAAGTCCACGACAGAGAAAAAAAAAAGGGGGGGGGGGGGCCTTATTCTGTTCGAGGCATCGGATTTAGCCCAAGTTAGCAGTCGACATCGCCGATTATGTGGTCAATGATGCCTAGAGAGCTACCGCTTCTCCAGCGTCCCCTTGGATTCCTGCCTGGGGTCCTGAGCACTAGCCCCAGTACAATTTGGACCTGCGAGGGCAAGTGTGCAACCAGGTCTTCCGTCTCATTTCTGTGCAGCTTCATGAACCGTCGAGACGTAGTGTCGTGCTACTTCTTCATACAAATGATGACACTCCAAGGCAGTCGGATGCAGCCGGTTGGGCACCGGGGTCCGTTGCTGCAGCACAATATGCGAGTATCAGTATGCATGGGGTAGCTCCGGGGATTAAGATCCCGGGGCCGTCGCGTGGAGACGGTGGAACAATGGAACCTCCGATCTTGTGGTCGACGTACTCAAACTTTAGAGCAGTTAGCCGCCAAAATGACAGCGGGTGCTCCTCAACTTAGCTAAATTCACGATGATACTCTTGCCGGGGCGTGATCTTTTATCGGCGAGGAAGCCCTCGCTTTCCCAGAACGATTTCCTATTCTATACTATTATACAGATTGACAGCCTGAGTTTCGCGGCTATTGGGCTTTCTCTCCATTGTTGTTCACCCGCATATTAATGGCTACCACGCGTCTCATACTCACGGAACCTTCATCCAGAAGCGGGTAAAGGAGGCGATATGCCCAAACTTTCCGCCGTAGGAACGCTCATTTCGGGGCTAAACATTACTTTCCACTCCGTCTTTTCCATTCCTTATCCTCTTGTTGAGCATGCAGGGCGGCCTTCTCCCTTTTCCTCTTTTGCCGGTTGAAGTCTTCAAACGTTCTCAGTTTTTCACCCTCGTTAGCCGCTTGAGAGGTCTGGTGTACGGTGACGGCAAAGCGGCCGTAGCCATTGCTGTGGGTATGAGATGTCTCCATTATGACGCTCACAGGATCGATAACTTTCAGTATGCGGGTTTGTCAAAATCTACACATGCGGCTGGTTAGCAAGGAGACCATGCTATTGGTGTGCGCCCCGGAGACCATCATTTACAAGGATCATGACGTACTTCAAATTATGGTGGGTGAATCTGGTTTATTTTATCTCGTCTCTTTTTTTTGGCTTTAGTTCTCGAGTGTGGAGAGTTGGCAGAGTCTGTGGCATTAACTACTGTAAGGATAACCAAGAAGAGTTCATCACGCTACTTAAGTACGAAGTCAACCGCCTTGTGCTTCAAGATTTGATGCCGGAAACACAACGGCCGGGCAAACCGGGCAAATGTCAAGGTGCTCATCACCTACTACGGTGCCATTTACATGGCGACCGATTCCCTGCCTACGCGACGAGGCAAGACACAGATAACGCCCTGGAGAATCTACGTCGGCGTCATCGACGTCGAATTTAGTCCTATTTCACATCACCATCGGCCATTAGACCGTCGTATAGACGCGACCCACCACGTCTTTTGAAACAAGAGAACCTCATTCCATCATGATTGGCTTTGTCTGACATCACCATACCCTCATCTTTCTTTCATTTGCTACTTGAGGCGATCACAAAAGTGTGCTGGGATCGCGTTTGTCGCCAATCTTCTAAGTCGTTGAGTCATCGCGGGCGGAGGCGTTTTTACGAGTTTGCGAGGCGAGGCCTTTGCCAACTGCGACTGGACGTTGTTGGTCCAGCTGAAGCGAGGCGAACAAAAGGCGGTTTGGGGCAGTGTTCCTCCCTCCAATCAGCTTCAGGCATGGATGTTCTTGACCAGAAGTCACGTATCATTCGGCATTCCCAAATAACAGGGGTCGTCAGCAGCAACCATAAGCTCGACGCTCGGCTTGAGGCGGATCTGCGTTGCCTTTCTCCAGACTCATGGATTTCCAATTCATCCAAATCCTTCGCTACTACTAAGTTTAGATTATATCGAAAAGTGTGTGCGGCACCTGACCTCTTGGTGAAAACCACATAATCCCAGCAAAGCGGAATGAAAGCGACTTGATCGAGCTGTATCGAGGGGAAATTGACAGGGCTCCTCAATTTTCAACTCTCGGGGTAAATGTGGTCTGAGGTATTATGGGGCCTGACGAAAACTGCGGGGAAAAAAACTTCAGGATTTGATCTCTTGGCACTTCACTGTGAAAAGACCAGGACCTCGCTTTTTCGTCCGCCGATCTATCGTGGCGGTTTATACGAGGGCAAAAAAATTCAACACATTGCTCGGCCAGTTCCACGGTATTTTCGGGCCGGAAGCACTTGGCGAGAGCCGCAGAAGTTCTCTGACGTCAACATTGAGCCGTTTGAAAAGCCTCAGCATCAGCCAGCTGTCAGCCTCCCAGTGTCTCAGTTCCCGTTCTGCAACTCGTTTACTCTATTAGGTTCTAACAAATTGTCATATTGTGGCTAAAGAACAGGTCGGCGCCGCTTCAATATGTCGTCAATAGTAGGTAAATACGGAATAGTGATGAATAGTGAGGCTCCGAATCGTATGCAAAGTGTGGAGCGTCAACCCTAGCGTCGAGGCTTCAGCGCTCCCGATGAGTTCGGCATTCAACACTCTAGGGTGCTGTCTGCGCGATCAATGTGGCGGGAACCGCTGGCAGATCTTCTTTAGTTCAGCCCTTGCCCTGCTGGGCGGGACGTTTTACGCCCTGGACCCGGGAGGCGCACAGGTGTGGGCAATTGCCATTGCCTTGTTTTACTCCCCCGCCTCCTCTCTGGGGCTGTTTTAATTTATTTTTTTATTATTTTCTTTTTCATTTCTGTCTCTCTTTTTTGAACTTCCATTTTCCCTTCTGGGACTGGGAAACTTGAAATTACGCACAAAAGGAAAGCCTGCTCAGACCTCGGATGCGACTGTGGGCCAGGCGAGAATCCTTCCGTAGGGTTATCGTGTCGCTCGCGCAGGTGGCACGACAGAGTTCGCCATTGATCAGTCGACTCGTTCTTCCGCTAATGCCTCCATTTCCGCTCCGGCGGTAACATATTCGTCTTGCCGAGCTGGGTTGCAGTGCAGTCAGAACCCCTGAGGCCACGTCTTCACCGACCCAGCATTGTGGATTCAGGACCAGTTTCATCCCTACTATTGTTTGTGTGCACTTCATGTGCCTTGGTGTCTCGTGTTAGAGGCCATTTTCTGGATTTAATGTTGAATTTTTCTTCCCCCGGAGTGGTTGGATGGGCTCCGCATTTCTGCATGTTTTGACTCTTTCGTCTTGATGAAGTGAACAGTTGTTTCTGACAGCGAAGACAATCAGCAAAAGCAACAAGAGAGCAGCTAGTGTCATCGAGTTTGTGGAAAAGCGAGATCTAAGACTAACAGGGCAGAGAGAAAGCGTGTGTGGCATTCAATCTTCTCAAACAACCAGGGTCTTTTTAGTGCTCGATCTTGAATATGTTCCAGTCTTTATCTCCCCGCCTCGTTGTCGGGTCCGAAAAAGCAATTTCTAATTCATCGTCCAAGACCCTAGTGGGACATTGATGTGGCCTTTTGAACTTTTTTTTTATGTACTTTCTTCTTCTAATATTTTTTTCTTTTTATTTTATTTTCCTTTATTTTGGCTTATTTTCTTTTTGGTGCGGTGCCATTGGAAAGCCAAACTAGCGGCATTGGCGATACTCAGAGTCCTACGAGACTCGGATGGATCCAATTGATAATTGATATGCTTGCGGTCTCTGGTTCACTCCCACCATCCCTGTTCCTTCCCCTCAATGATCCGACGGCAGTTCTCGCAAGTTGCGGAGAGCAAGGATCAGTTGAGGCTACAACCCAGTTTCCAGCTGCAGGGAACAGCTGGACACCAGGTTCGGGATGCAAGGTAGTGCATGCCCTTACCCAGCATTGGACAAGGACCCTGCCATGGCGTCCGATAGCTCCCGCGGTCATACAAGACAAGCACCAAGCTCTCGCCATCCAGGACTATCAGCGGATGCCAACATCACCTTCTTACCCCTGACCCCCGAGAGCCCCGAAACCGAATGGCGCAACAGATTATGCCGTGTGATGTGTTTCCATTTTGTTCTGTACCTACATGAAAGACGCCTCAGGGCTGCTGCTTCCGCTCGACGCCATCCATCGAGCCCGTTCAAGTTCCGATTTGCTGGACGTGCCCAGGTGACGGGAATCCCCAAAGAAATAATCCCATACTTGCACACATAGTACGCCTCCAGCTCGTTTCTTTCCCACTAGGGATGAAATCTGGTAATTGGATGGGTCGTTATTGGCTGGTTCCTGTCTGGCGATATCGACGCACTTGCTTCTTCGTACCACTACATCTCGAGACCATCGAACCGAACTTTCATTTTTTCCCTCTAGGATTTTCTTGATTCGCTTACTTCCCCTTTCTTTTTCTATCTAAATTTTTTTTTTCTATTCTGTTTTAAACAAGCAGCTTGACGACCCAACCTGCCTTAGTATTCAGACATTCATTGCCTTTTTCCCCCTCACTGTCCCTCATTATCTCTTAGGTCTTCATGATAGAACATATCATCTTCTTCCTAACAGGCACAACGAGTGTATATAGCAACACAACCCCCTCATTAAGAGTTGCTTTTGGCAGAAGTCGGCTATCGACAGCTTACTGCCCCCAATAGCAATCGAGCCATTTGATCTCGTCTCCTCTCGAGTACTGAGTAGTTCCCGAACCCACCTCATGCCATTCTGAGGGGGTGCCACCGTATATATCGTGTCCGATGTCCCCTTACCCCCTGTGGTTCCTCGTCCCCCGGATTTCGATCTCTTGATCCCGCAGATCGCTCATCAAACCACACACACACCCCTGCACACGAGGCTTCTTGTGGCTTAGCCCTAGGCTTGTAAGTTTTGTGATCTCGCTGTGGTGGATACCCAAGATCGTTAAGTTACCAACACTACGGAGTACAGGGCCTTCTTGAGTCAGGCCATCACCGCCACAACTGAAAGCCCTCCTCCTCCCCACCGTTCCCTATTGGGTAATGACAGGATGACCTCTCATTCTTACAAAGCGCACTTTCACAGTGCAGTCGCCGCTGCTGTCGGCACTGCTGTCATACACGCCGCACACCTTGCCATTACCGAGTGGACGAACCGGACGAAAAGGCCCGGGAAGCCATCGGCGAACTGGCCATGGAGAGTGACACTTTCCATGTTTGTTGTTCTCGCTTTTACTTTAATTATATTTTGTGCCGTTAAGGAGTCGGATGTTGGAGTTACCATATTGGATGCTGTTTCCGTGGCGCATGTCGTCGTCGTCGAGGTAAGGCTTCCAATGCCCTCGACTTACACCACGTTATTGGTGGTATGTAAGAAGACCAAAACAAAGCTAACCTCACACCGCCCCTAGCACTACATCGTCTCCGTCCTCACCGATGCACCCATCGACTCCAACCCCAAACGGTGCTATCGCCTCGCCACAGCCCTCCAAATCATCTTCGCCGGCTTCGGCCTCTGGCAACTCTCCCAAGGCTTCGGTCTCTACTACGACGCCCCCCTCATCTCGCGGGCCATGTTCGCCTCCATCGCGACCTACCTAGCCTTCCACATGCGCCAATCCAAAGCGCACATGTACCTCATGGCAGCATGGTCCATCTACGCCATCGTCAGCACCTTCACGTCCCTTGCCATCCTCATCGTCAACGTCGTATACTGGACGCGCGGGCGTGAGCACCTCGAGAACCACGCGCTGGCGCAGTGCGTTCTCGGTTGGCTCGATAGCGTCGTCATGGTTGCTGCGCCGTGGGTGTTTAAGAGGATCGTCGGCCAGGCGGCGATGAACCATGGGACGACGACGACGAATGGGACACTGACAAGGAATCAGAGGGGGTCAGTGGCGTCGACGATTGGCGGCGAGAGTGTTATTTCGACGCCCAGTTCGGCGAGGATTTCGGATGGGACGTTGGTGGATTTGGAAGGGAGGGACGTCATTGTTCTTTTTGGAAAGGATCGGTCGACGTCGGATTTGAAGGGCTTCGAAGATGGGGCGAAGAAGGTAGGGAATGGGTCTGCGGATGGAAATGTGTAATATCCACCTTTTCTTTCTCCGTTACTGGTCCCTCCCCTCCCCCCTTCCAAGTTTCCTTCTCGTTGCCGGCTTGGGTGGATTGGACCTTTTTACACCAAGTTCACAGCCCTGCCGTGGCCTGAACAGGCCCGGCCGACGTGGTTTTGGTTAAAGCCAATCGGCAACGCCTCGGCAATGCGTGCCAACATCGTCATGGTAGGCATACCCACTATGGAGCACACACATTATTCATCGCGGACCGAGTCGTCGTGCCAAAATAGTGGAGGTTTTTGCTCTACTGCGGATCATCGTTAATAAGTTGAGGTCCGTCGAGAACTTTGAGCCAGGGAGGAGGAAAGATGGTTTCAATTGGGACCATTTGTTCCGGAAAGTGGGGACTTCAGAACGGAGCGGAGAAGGCGGACTTCAGTCCCTGGGCCGCCTTGAGAATTGAAACAGTAAGTTTCCAACGTCTTAATCTTATTGGCTTTCTTCTCCGTATCGATCTTGGAAGGTTGCTAACTTGATTATCGTCAAGGACTCCGGCCACGAATGACGTCTCAATTCAAACAAGACGATGTTGAGATAACCAACCTCCCCCCTCGAAGCCTCAACACCCCGTTTAATCCTGTTCACGACTCTAAGGTCTGGAGACTTGAACGTCCATGACCAAGAGATGTTAAAATTGTTTGAGATGGTGAATGTGACATGAGAAATAGGTGGAAACGATCGAGATGATATGACGATACATGACTTTTAGACGGCGCACACGGATGGAGCGGAAAACACGTCGATGTATATACCCATGGAAAAGGAAGCGGCGAGGATAGGAAACATGATTAATATACAAGTTAGACTAAAGCAATGAACGTAGACTTGACAAAAGGGTTGATGACTATAGCAGACCCATATAGAGAATAGCCTGGTCTCAGATTCAACTCTATAGATCTTGGCCGGCCCATTCTGCAGCCCGCCATAAACAGTAGGTCCGAGTTCTCAAAGTTCTCAACTTGACCCTCAACTATCCCACATCTCCTCGGAAATCACATATCGAGTTTATAGACCACCCTCCCCTCGCTCAAGGGTTGTCTGTGTTCCACAACTCAAACCCCAGACCCTTTTATGTCCGGGAGGGGGGAATTGAACCAACACCCACCCCTCGGCATGCAATATTCTCAGAAGAGGAAAGCCGAAAGAGTCGAATGGGTGGGTTGGCGCAGATCATGAAGCAATTGATAGATTAGAGGGCGCCTGCAAGGCTGATAAGCGAAGTGGTGATTGGAGGGCTCCCGGTCCTGGGGTGGCATTGGGACGCACGAAGAGCGGCAGGGAAGGAAGTGGCTGCCACCAAGTCTGGTTTGAATTATTATTACTATTATTTTCTGTCTTTTTTAAGTCTAGCCGAGAAAGAGGATAGTTTTTCGTGTATTACACAATCTTGAGGGATATAGAATTGGAGTTGGGGACTATACGAGGCCGTGAAAGAATGGTGGCTTCGTGAGAATGAGACTGGGGATGTTGACGTCTTTGCCCCCGCCGTGATGCATGAAAATAGCTCAAAACTTATGAGAAAAAGAGGACCGAAAAGAATTCCCAACAATGAGATGTAGAAAAGAACAAAGAAGGGAGAGGAGAGAAGTAAGGAGAGAAGAAAATAAACAACTCGCAGCGGTCTGTCTCTCCCCTTGGAAATAATTACCTTGCCAGGGCCAGCCGGAGACAGCAACTTCTCCGAATCCGCCCATGTCGGGAAACGAATGCTTCAAAAACCAAGATCACGAAAAAAAAGAAAAGGAATGCATTTTAAGGTGACAAGAACCAAAGAACAAAAAGAAGAGAAAAGAAAAAATAAATAAAAATAACAGAAATCACGAAAACAAAAAGAAAACAAAACCCCAAAAATTACGTAGAAAATGGCAGAATATATTGTTTGAGATCTTCCACCGTCACCAACCTATCTTTTGAATAAGTCTTCCCCCGAGCCAAACGCATCGAATCTCCCTCTGCAAATCCATCCATTCCCCTTCTACACTAACCCTCTCATCGTAGTCCCTCGAATCATTGTCGAACCACGTGGCCGGGAAATACAAGTCCTCCCAAACACTGCCCCTAATAAAATAGTCCTCAGGCAAAGGTTTCATGTCGCAGCTCACCTTCTCCCGTAGCTCGACGCGGGGCAACGTATTACTGGCCACGACCTTGGCGTACCCCTCATTCGTCGACAGCAGCCTGCCGCGCATGACGCTGAGAGTGCCAGTTAGCAAATCCCGGTTGAGCTGCGAGTAGAGCTGCGTCATCGGGAGACCGCCGCTATTTGGGTGTTGGGCCGCGCTCGCCAAGAAGGCGAGCAGAACGTGTAGGTAGGGTGACGTGGCGGACGTGGCCGCGGCCCCGTGGCGGAGTATTGTGTTTAGGCAGCTGGTTGTAAGCCTTACTGCACGAGCGGAGGCGCGGTTGTGCGCTTCGAGGGACCTTTCGATGGGAAGGCTGGGGGTGCCTGGAGGTGAGGGGATGGTTACGAGAGCAGACGTTAGGGGGTTTTGCGGAGAGCAGAAGTTGAGGAGGCCGTGGACGTTGATTATGGCCAAGCGGTAACTGGATCCTGTTAGTGAAATGAAATTCAAGAAAGACTGGCGAACTTTGGGCTTTTTTGGCAGGTTTCTCTTATGCCTCAGGAAGAAGTAAAACGAGAATGAGAGAGAGAGAGAGAGAGAAAGAGAAGGAAAGAGAAGGCGGGATTTGTTTACCTGAACTGTTTATTCTCATCGGTTACGGGCCCAATGCTTCTCTCAAGTTCCTTGAGGAATTCCCCAAGACTCGATTCAAACTCTCCATCGCTTCCATCTTGAATCAAGGCACTATACGTCTTCACAAGGGCTATCTCCACAGCAAGAGACCCTTCTGTCTTCCCCTGGGCCACCTGCGTAAAGAGCGTCATAATAGTCTCCTTCGCAGTCGCGAACGGAGTCTTGGTGCAGAAACTCTTGGTGAAAAACAAGAGTTGTCCCAAGAGCCCGGGCCTCGAAAGGATGGCGATATGATGATATCTCTGACCGATGCCAGGGGTGAGATCTATGCTGCGCTGGTACCAATATCTGCTGACCTCGATCCAGAGGCTTCTTTCCTCGGCGGATTCCGATTCAACGGCCATCCTAAACCGTGCGAGGTCTCCGAGGCACTCAGCCCAGACGTCGCAAAGATCCTTGGAGTTCTCATAGAGCACGGTGATCATATTAAAGGCGAGTGACACGAACCGGAGCATATGGGGCTGCGAGCCGGGAAGGTTCCGGCGCATGAGATCGAGCAGCCGATAGATGGCATGACGCCAAAGACGGGCTGGCATAGAATATTTAGTAACCACATTCTTTAACTGGTCTGATGCCGCCGCGACGGGATGGTTGGTTGCGAAGAAAAAGTCGCAGAATTCGTAGAGCGTAACTTCGTGTAGCTTCACGAGCGACTTCCATCTATCATCCGTAAAGGTTACGCCCTCCCGATCCGAGTCGGAGACTTCTTTAATACAGACGTCCTCTGCCTTCACAAGTGCAGCATAGATTCCGCGGATCTCGCTCACCAGCTGGTCGAATGTAACGGCACGCGTGATGAGCTGCTTCTCTATTCCCCCGACCTCCTCCGGGAGGGACTTGGGAGTCGGGAGTGGGTCTACACGCATACCGTCTGTGAGGGTGGTAACGTTTTCAGTTTCACGCTTCTATGCCTCTTTTGTTTATTTGCCCCCTTCAGCTTGCAGATGGGTTTTTGCGGCTGCGGCTGAACTTAAGTCCCGTCTGCTTTTGCTTTTTTGCGTTGGAAGCGCGCAGTGGTAGAATTGACCTAAAGATGAGTGTATGAGCGTACATTGTCTAATATTTTATAAGTAGAACCATGAAGAAGTCCAGGCTGCAGCCTTGGGAAGAAAGAACGAGAAAAAAAAAAAAAATAATAAAAATGACAAGAATGAGGGCCCTTGCGAAAAAAGGCAAGGCTTGACAAGCCTGACCAGCCCCTTCTTAAACTCGGTCTTCAAAAATGGAATATGTGAACTGCCACCGAGGAAAAAAATAGGGGTGGCCTCCAGAAACGAGGAATCACTGGCACACACCTAGTTCTCTAGAATCTAGCCCGCTGTAAACACCGGGAGGCTCGCCTTCAATCAGCGGGGCAAAAAAAAGTCAAGGAGGCAAAACTGGAGGCGAATCCTAAAATATACGTAGGCGGAAATCGCCGTTTGGACGTCTTTTTTTCGTTTTTCATAGGGCGAGGGGAATTCTCCCAGAAAGTGGAATGGGGTTGTTCAAATTCGTTTCTTGTGAAGATGTCCCTGGTTTCGTTTCACTGTTACGAGTTAGCTCGGCTCGACTCGATTTCGTTTCTTCTAAGATTCGTTGGAGGAGCGGTACTGACCCTCAAGTCCAAAACGAAAGAAAGAAAGCGGAAAGAAAAAAAGAAGTCGAATATTGGCTTGAATTGAAGTCTCAAGGTGGAAAGCATCGACCGGAAGTCCATGGAGATATATATATTTCGCGGAGGCAGACCACTGCATTCATTTCCACAGCCCTCAGGATAGGATCGCCTTGTGTTCGCCTTAAAACGGTGGGCCAACGTTATGTTAACGGGCAGCCGGACTGTTCCCCGCGGCGCCGCCTTCTCCTCATTTCGAACCTCAGGCCAGGAGTGATTCGAGGCTGCTATACACTTAAACGATGAGCGAGAAACTGTTATCGCATCATTAATCATTGATCAACGCCGACGTCCGGCTGCTCTCCCCCACTGGAGTACTTGTTCGAGACGTGGCCTGGGCAAGGCACTCAACCCCGCCAACCCCCCCCCCCCCCCCCCCCCCCCCTAAAAAAAAAAACTGGTGAAAGATGCACTGCGCGATGCGCCCCTCTTCCATTTGACTTCGACGCGTCCAGGCACATCGGCAGCAGCAGGGACTCGTTGGTGACGGATTAAACCACCACACCCGACAGGGATATATATACACACATGGATTATAGATAATGCGACCTATCTCTGGCTGCCATCTACTTCGTGGGTGTCTCTTGGGTGTTGATGATCGGTATGTGCATCTCGCCAACTTGTCAGTCTGGCTATTGGGAAAGTGCTAACCAGCCTCATCGTTTCAGTGGAATCGGGGAAAGGAAGCATTCTCCAATCGCTTCAAAGTGAAATTCGTTTTCAGCAGTTACTTCTTTTCTACGTGGGAAAGGGGCTGAGATCGAGGCTGCCCAGCGCCTGCAGACTCGGATTGTTTGTTATGTGGTGGTTGAATGTTGTCTTCTTGGTTGGGGATGAGTCTTTCCCACTCCCCTGAGATGTTGCTCGACGATCTCAGACAACCAAAATTCGCTGTCTGGTGTAATTGAGGTCCTTGGGAGGACCCAGGTGGTCGATTGGCGGCGGATGAGGCATCTGGCATGCTCTGTTGGAAAGGATCCGTGAGTGACTGGATCACAACGACCAGCACAAACTGTGGTTCTACCTGTGCAGACAGTGCGGTAATTTGGTGGCAATGGCTATCATCTACGAAGTACCTGTGTACACAGCTCAATAAATCATGGCCAGCCACAACGAGACCTGAATCGTGGCTGGGGCGAGGCTCAAATTACTAGTGACTAAACATGTGGTGACTAAACACACTTATGTCATCAAACTGCTGTAACTGACCTTTGTTCACTGTTGGAACAACCACTGCTCAATTTGGCAATTCGCTAAGTCGCATTTGAAAAGAGGCGAAACTTATTATCCCACCCACCATCATCTCGACTTTCACACCCTCGAAACCTCGACCGAAACCCATACCTCAAGACAGGTGACGCCCTTACCGAAAAAAAAAAAACACCCCCACAAGATCAACGAGATGCCCCCCCGCAGACCAGATCCCAAGGCGGCAGCAGCGGCGGCAGCAGCAGCAGGCCCCGGCTCCAAGCAGCAAAACATCTACATCCCATCCTTCATCAGCAAACGCCCCTTCTACGCAGGCGAAGAAACCGACGCCACCGACTACCTAGAGCATCAACGTCTCCACAAAAAAGAAACAGCCGAAGAATCCCAATGGTACACGCGCGGCCGACGCGCAGGCAAAGCCTCGACCAAATATCGCAAGGGCGCCTGCGAGAACTGTGGCGCGATGACGCACAAGGCGAAGGATTGCCTCAGCCGACCGCGGGCGAAAGGCGCGAAATGGACGGGCAAGGACATCGAGGCGGACGAGGTGGTGCAGGACCTCAACCTGGGGTGGGACGCGAAGAGGGATCGATGGAACGGTTTCGATCCGAGGGACTATAGGGCCGTGGTGGAGGAATACAATGAGATGGACGAGCTGCGGAGGAAAGCGCAGGAGGCGAAGCAGAAGGGTGATCAAGGCGATACGTATGCTGAGGAACTCGACCCCACTAAGCATCAGAGCACGGCTACAAGGCAGCTCAGGATACGAGAGGATACGGCCAAGTACCTGCTTAACCTGGATCTCAACTCGGCAACGTACAATCCCAAGACCCGCGCGCTCGTCAACGCCGGTGAGGTAGAAGACGACAAGGCCGCGACGGTCTTCGCCGAGGAAGGCTTCATGAAGGCGTCAGGAGAAGCAGCAGAGTTTGAAAAAGCGCAACGGTACGCTTGGGAGGCACAGGAGGCGTCTGGCGATACGAGAATGCACTTGCAGGCTAACCCCACGGCTGGAGCCTTCCATCGACGGAAAGAGCAGGAGGTCGCCGAGAAGCTGCGCGCGGAAAAGATGAAGGCTCTACGGGAAAAGTACGGTGGCGACGAGAACGAAAATGAAAAAGCTGGTGCTGGTGCTACCGCCGAGGCTCTGCGGGCCGTAGCTGTCACCGAGTCGGAAACTTTTGTTGAATATGACGAGAGTGGCGCGATCAAGGGCGCACCCAAGGCTGCAGCCAAGTCGAAATATCCCGAGGATGTGTACCATGGAAACCATACCTCGGTCTGGGGCAGCTGGTGGCACGATTTCAGATGGGGTTACGCTTGTTGTCGCTCATTTGTGAAAAATTCATACTGTACTGGCGAGGCTGGGATACAGGCATGGGAAGCGGCAGAGAGGCAGCGTACAGGCGCGGGGCTCCTCACCGAAAATGGAGAGCCTGATGGTGAAGGTGAAGAACAGAAGCCGAAAGAGACGACGCCAGAGTCGGAGCGCAAGGAAAGGAAGTCGAGGAAACGCACTGCTGTGCAAATGGGTGATGGCGTCACAGAGCAAGAGCTTGACGAGTACAGGAAGAAGAGGACGGCGGTGGAAGATCCCATGGCCAAATTATTAGGGAAGGATGAATTATTACAATGAGGGGCAGCCTTCAAGTTGTTACACTACATTATACAAGAAAAAGTTTATACCCACGCATACATCACACACTAGACAATGATGAGTTTCACGAAGCTGCTCCACACCGAGTTTCATTTCTCGTTCTTTTTTTGTAATTTCACATGGACATCATCGTGAATTTCAGGTATAGAACATAAAACTGAGGATGCAAACAAATCCATTTTTCCTGTCTAACGCCCCACACAATGAATGAAGCGAGGTCCCAAAACGACCGTGACCGGATTCCGTAAACCCTCTTTTTTTTTTCCTTCCTCTAATGAGAGGTGCCAACATGATATTCACCAGCACCCTTCCTCTACTAAGATGGGAGCTATGCATTTACTCCTCATCCTCCTCTTCATCATCATCACCGCCCTCAGCGGCCTTGGCCTTCTTCCTGCGGACACGGCCGAATCGGCCACCGCCGAAGGGCGAGGTGATGGCGAAGTCAATGTGCTTCTGGGAGTCGAGACGGACGATGAAGGAAGGGACGTTGACGATCTGCTTGCCGACGCGGATGTGGCGCTGGCGGATGAGGACACGGGCGTGGTGGATGGACTTGGCGAGGCCAAGCTTGTAGACACAGGTCTGGAGGCGGCGCTCCAAGAAATCCTCGACCTTGAGGGCAAGGACGTAATCGAGCTTCATGCGGGACTCGTCCAGGACACCGACGCGGACGAGACGGCGAATGAGGGCATTTCCTTCGAATAGACGCTTGGGGTCTTTCTCGTCGAGAGTAAGAAGCTGACTGTAATAGGAAGTAAAAGTGTTAGCGAAATGGAATCCCTCCTCTTTTGGTTTCCCGCATTGCCCATGTGGAAAATTGCGTTCAAGAGTCGTGAAATGACGGAAAGGAATTCTTCTTACCGGGCAGCACGTCGAATCTTGGACAGAGTCAACTGAACTCGCCAGACCTCACGCTTGTTGCGGAGACCATATTCACCGACGAGCTTCAACTCAGAGTCCCTGTACAGATATCCTCCATTGTCAGTATTCCGAAGATCACTACGACTTGAACAGAGAACAAGCTCATGTTTCAGTGGCCGGTGATGTTACTAACAATCGAGCAGCCTCGAAGGGCCTGCGAGGGACACGAGAGGTCTTGGAGTAGGATCGGCTGGAGAGAATTCAAATGTTAGCGAGTCTCTTTCTTGTTTATTATAATTCTGCAATTGACTTCATCAAGTCCTTCTTTTGATTGTTCTCGATTACTTACGGAGGCATTTTGGCGTCTCACGATTCCTTTGGTGTTGTCGGTGAGGTTGAGGAAAAAAAGAGTGTGGAAGTGAAGTTGCAAGGACTGACTTCGAAAATCCAGAAAATAACCAAAGATGTGTGAAATCCCGTTCGCTGTGGGGTCCATTTTTGATTCGGCAGGCGCAGAGAGATTCCTCGACCAGTATCCAATGGTATTTCGCCAACAGAATATTATGTAATCCAGGGCTTCAAATTCTAAGTTGCCCTAATTGTTCGCCCCTCTCAAAGTCACAATTGGAGCATTGCAGTGGGTACGTACCTCACTCTCTCTTTGGATTTGGGAGAAAATATTCCAACGACCTCGCACATCGACCAAGGATTGATTTTCAATTATCGACCAATTTCTCACCCAACAATCCCACCGCCCCCCCTTCCCTCGATAGGAACCCGAATCAACAGCAAAAATGGGTAACGCTCGTGGTCTTCGCTCTGGTACTCGCGTATGTTCATCTCTCCTCGAATTTATCTGCGAAATGGAGGTGGTTTTATCGATGATGGTTGGGACGTGAAAATGCTGATGCGGTTTCTTTTCTCTCTCTGCAGCATGCCTTCTCGAGGGACTTCCGAAGGAAGGGTCAGATCCCCCTCACCACTTACCTGAGGCAATACAAGTACGTTCGAAATTCCGTGAAAAAGAGGACCCAAAAAGAAACTTGGCTATTCTGAGTCAATTTGTGTGCTGACCGAGGTGGTTTTACAGGGTTGGCGATATCGTCGACATCAAGGCCAACGGTGCCGTCCACAAGGGGTAAGAAAAACCCGCGATTCCTAGTTGATAAATCCTCTTTTCCCCGGAAATTCCGCGACGATTCGATTGCCCGAAGACTGGAACCTTCAGAAGAGTCTGAGCGGGGGAATATGATGGCATGAATCGACACGCGCCCAACACAATCTGAACGAGAGACGACCGTATTTTACCAGCTCCCTTTCCACTAACTCGCCCAACTTTTAGTCTTCCCTTCAAGGTCTACCACGGTAAGACCGGCGTCATCTACAATGTCGCCAAGTCCGCCGTCGGCATCATCATCTACAAGAAGGTCAAGCACCGATACCTCGAGAAGCGAATCAACGTCCGCATCGAGCACGTCCAGCCCTCGCGATCCCGAGAGGGTTTCCTCCGCCGAGTCAAGGAGAACGAGGAGCTCCGAAAGCAGGCCAAGGCACAGGGCAAGCCCGCTCTCCTCAAGAGGCAGCCCGCCATGCCCAGGGAGGCGCACACCCTCTCCCTCAAGGACTTCCCTCTCGAGACGATTACCCCCGTACCCTACGAGACGACGATTTAAACAAGGTTCGGCAAAAGTACAAAATGGTTTCGTGGGTCAAAGGGCGTGTGTTATTGTTTTTACTGGGGGAGTTGTTATTAAAAACAAACCCCGAGGATGGCAGGTTTTTTTAACGAGAAATCATACTTTTTTCCCCCCCGAGAAAAAAACTCTCCCCTGGGAATCTCTCTCTCTCCTGCATGTTTGGTAACTTGAGGGAATCCAAATGTCTTTTTGTGTGACGTGGAACGGTTTCCGTACTTCTCTTGTGTGTTTTTGCATGGGAGTCCGAGGTTAGGTCCGGAAATGTGGACTGGCATTTCTCAAATGGCAATGAAATCGGCGTAATGCCCCCCCCTTAGAGACAAAATACTATTTGTTTTGGCATTCCCTTTTGAGATTTGACGGCTCTTTGGTCGTCAGTTATCGTGATGCTCAAGTCTTCGATTCTTTCCCACATGTCATGGCCAAGGAATGAATTGTGCCTGTGTGAGGGACTTGCCGGACGACGACAGCGCCTCAATCCTTGAATCCCACTTCATACTGTACAACCGTTGGTGGCAGCTGGCGAAGAATATTATTCTTTAATAGCACTTAAGGACTCTGCAAAATCTACGAAGTATTGATCCGTTTTAATTGGCTTCTTTTAATCTGTTCCTGTTGGCAACTGCAACGAAGCCCCAAAAGAAGCCCGTTGGGTTAATTCGTCAACACAAATACCAGCTCCCTTACCACCATACAATTGATGTCTTGACGACATCCAGCATTTTTTTGTTGTTCCCGCTGAAATATAAGGCGGGCCGTTTATCTTCATACTTGAGAATATCAATTGGCGTTAGTACCATAAACATGCACCGTAATCTACTTTGTAAAAGACTGCTTACTTCGGCGGGACATTCCAGGCAAGACATGGATTTGAGTGGTTCGCGAACAGTCCGCGAACAGTCCGCGAACAGCCAGTACTTCGTAGGACCAATCAAACCCCGCCAAAGCCATGGTTCCCTTGCAACGAGATGATTTTTTCGGTGATCATTGATTCAAGTTGCTTTGCCATCATTGGTCCCCCGCTGCTGCCCTGCAGCCTGCAAGGACACCCTCATTCGTGTCCCAAGACCAGGCTCTAGAGATCTTCCAAGTCGCTGCAAGAATATACCTCTCTCTACCCCTGTGCTACTTTTCGGCAAGTAGCTCGGTTCGCGGCGGCTCCCAAAATCCTTTTACCGAATTCCAATCTCAAGAGAAGTTTGTGATCTTGCCCCGTGCGAGTGCCCCTCGGATCGATGGACATCCGATGTATCGGCCGTGTCATGGGTCGGCCCAATGCCCTCGTACATCCATTGATCAGAGAAAGCGCAGACGGGAAGAAGAGGGTAGAAGTGCAGATTTTCTCGGTGGGCACGGCGCCATCTCCCACTTTGATCAAGCCATGCAGAAGGCAAGGCTTCGCTGGCGTCCTGAGGCACCCGAGGAAATCCACTTTCGAGAGTGGGGGTATATTGCATAGCATCTAAAGGTGAAAGTGACGTGGGGAAGTATGATAATGTTGGTGGCTGGCTTTGGTATAACGGAGAGAAATCTGATGCCGTGCTCTCTCCACCCCAAGGCATCTGCTCCGTTAAAGGGCTGTAGTACGTTTGGTGAAGACCCACAAGCACTTGGGCAGCTGCGCAACCTGCACATAGCTTGGGCTCGGGGGGCATGGATCGACCCAGTGGAGGTGCTAACCACGAGATTGGGCAGAGGGAGCAAGATAGAACATCCAGGTCGGGACAGTCCGCAGCAACCTGCAAAGATTCCTCGGATAGACCAGGACGGGATGTAGTATCATTTTCATCATGACAGATGGGCTCATGATCCGGATGCCCTTCGTTGGAATTCGTCTCGAGTCTAGACTCCGGCGATAGACTTTGCAGATCGCTATTCTGCGGCGAGATCGGTTCTTTCGACGACGATAGTTTTGCTCGTTCTTTGGATGGTGCTGATTTGGGAGCAGTAGGTTGTGATGCTCGCCGGCTGAGCTTATTCCGCCTCCTCCTCCGCTTGTCTTTTGAACGATGGGTCTGGGGAGATGGAAATGGGCATGGAATGGATGTGTCTTTTCGTGCCTCTGGCTATAATATCGTTAGTCAGGTACCGGTGGATATGGCGAGGAGGTTGTTCGCAACCTCGGACACTCCTTACCATTTGGGCATGTTCTTCATGACAAGACGGAGTGACCATCGTGTACGCATATACCCTCTTCTTGTCTTCTTGATCTCCTCAGACACTGTTTCGATAAGAACCATCCGCTTCAACAGTTCTGGTAAGCACCAGATTTAAGTGTCCCTGAGTTACTGGTATTTTTGAAAACTAGACTCTTCCTAGAATCATTATATGGAAGATATGCTGATTATAAAAATAAAAATAAGTCATACTACACACCACACTCACTTGCCAAGCTTTAGCTCAGTTGCCAACAATCTCGGATATCCGACCCTTTCCAACCACGGCAAGAGGGTAATGGAGAAGGCGGATTCTACAGCCACCAACCAAACCATGACCATCGTATCAAGGTTTTTCTCATCTCTCCCAGAGCCGGACCTTGCATGGACCCTGCATGTTTCCGCTAATAACGACCAATCAACCGGAGGACCAACGAGATGGCGTCGGGAGACTCTGATATCCCAAACAACGGAGAGTGAAAACAAAGTTGGGTATCCCGTTTGTAGGCACACCGCTAACACGGTAGGGACGGGATCGGCCAAGCAAGGGTCTTTGGCAGGCCCTTGACGGATCATGGTCTGTTAGAATATTATTAGACACATGCCGCGTATCAAGTCTTTAGCCATCAAAGTAGCCCTCGCCATCTCGATGTGTAGTAACAAAAATCCGACATCATGACGCGACAAACTTAGTAGCGAGAATGAGCCTCTGCAGTCTGGGAAGAATCCTTGTTTGTGTCGGATACGGCACCTCTGTGGCACAAAACGGTCTCGCACGACGCCACACATCACCGCCCTGCCGGGTCACGGCATGAAAGGCAGCCCTCCGACACCGAGATACGGTGAAGGTGTCAGCGTCACATGGACCGCGTCTACACCATCTTGGCATTTTTGGTAGCCGATGTCATACCCCAGAGCGCAGAGGTACAGGAGGCAAGGGGCAGGCGTTTGCCTTGCTAACAAAGTGTTTTCTTGTGACTAGACGACTCAGAGGCAATCTGCGGTGAAAACGTCAAAAAAAGAAAGGAAAAACAACGCAAAAAATAAGTAAGAAAAGAAATGTTACGTTGAATAAAGCGGCCCAAGCCGTGGTTACACAGGAAAACACGAGAAATCGTAGCAGTCAAACTCCCCGACAAATATGTTCTTTACCGCCACCATCTTGTCCCCAGACCGAACTGTGTTCGAGATCGTGGAAGGCACCATCAAAAGAGACCGAAGACCGGTTTGCCTTGATGCAAAGTGCAATATGCAGTGGCTTTCATTTTGATGGCCTGTGGATGGCACACTGCGTGGTGGAAGCAAATTATGCTACTTGGAACCACCAGGCTCGTGTAACCAAAAACAAGACATGCTCCCACATGGTCAATCCGAAGGGCTAGTTCGCCCTATCTCTGTCCCGTGTGGCTCAATATATCACATCTCGTTTCAGAGAGTGTGCGCTCCTTCAGTTTGCTCGCCCATGGCTTGCCCGTGAATGCGAGGAAGTGGACAATTAGACATAAAACTTGGGAAGTAACACCTTAAATATGCAGGAGGCCGTACTTAGAGCTCGGGATAGCTTTTTCTCGCTCGGTGCCAGTCCGTCGAATCAGTGGAAGGATGTGACGAAAATGTATGCAGTCAGTTCGGCATTCCTATTGATGTCGTGCACTGGCGCCTCTCAACCCCTCGCAGTAACGAGTGCGACCTGGGGAGTACTTGCGCGTTGACAAAATAGAGTTGAGCATTTCCCTTCCGAAATGTACGCAAGTAACTCTGGATAGGACCGATTTCCTTTTCACTTTCGGCTTCCTCTTGCCCGGCTGGGATGGGTACGTTGGTATCAGCATCCTGAGAAGAGGCAACTCGCAAACGGGCAACGTGCAAGAGGACTGACACACCTGAAAGGTGGGGTTTCCGAGGAGTTGCGGCCGCGAGCCAGAATTCAAATTCAAAGCACGAGCATGTTGGGAAAACTGGGATCAGAAAAGCGCACGGGTAGTCGCTGCCCGAGCAAGGAAGGGGGTACGTTTGAATTTGGATGCCGTGGTTCGCGGAATGGAGTGTTAATGTTCACAAATCACAGATACAAACCTCCGTTTCCTAGGATATATCATTTTCTCCGTTTGGGATCATTAGAATTGTTTGGAAGGTATCTTGTCGATGTCTCCCTTACATGACGATAGATCAATTCAGGATGAAGCCCTGGTGATAGTGAAAATGTTAGCCAAAATCTCGAGTGGTGGAGTTGCGACGAGGGTGGGGAGAATTGACTAATGGCAGAGATCAGCGTTTGCCAGCTGGCGACCTAAGTTCTGTGGGATAGTTGTGGATGAATTTGTACATAGTACAGGTACAAAGGTATCTTGCGACACAGCAGTGACCTTCCACGATGCGCGTCTCACAACGTCATTCCCAATCCAGGACGACTCCGACCATCGTCTAGACTGATACCCCGAGCGTGAAATCTCGAATTAAGAAGTCAATCACATTCACCCTGATACGCGTAGTTGACTGAGACTTCTCACCCTAAATAACTTCCGGCGCATGGGCAGTCACCCATCCCCTCTCTTCATCTCATGATGGCGCGGTATCTCACACCCGCCAAAATTGGCCTTTTAGCTCTGATCGAGCTATACGCGGACGAGGCCGTTACGGCCGATGCCATCCTCCCCGTCCTCTCTTTCATAACCTCCCACCTCGTCGACACCGCCACCAACCTCAGCTCCTCACCATGGCACAAAGCCGAACGCACCGCCAACCTCGTCACCGACATCTACGAGTTTGAAAAGGTCTTATCACCGCACCCCGTCGTCCTAGGGATGCCGGGCCGTCGTCTCTGGGACAGCTTCCTCCAAAAGCTGTGGGACATCAACTCTCTTGATGCCATGCACGAGTTCTTCTCGCGGCTGCGTCTCCTGCTGCAACCTACCAAGGAGGAGCTGCGCCGTATCGCCCAGGAGACGGGGCAGATGCCCGAACCTGATGGCGGGATCCGGCTCTGTAAGACGTCTATTTTTGGAATTTTCGTGAGGAGATGTCAGTTGGAGTTTGCGCGGTTGAGGTTTCATGACTCGGCGGATTTGTGGAAGAGTTTTGTGAGGTATCGCCAGCCGACGGCGCAGTATCTCAAGAAGAAGAACCCGGCGTTCGAGAAGCTGAGCTTCGATCAGGTCTTGTTGGTGGGCGAGTTGGAGGATCCGGACTTTGAGGGGTTGGCGGCTGCTGTTTACGGGGATGGGCTGGTGGGGAGCTCGTCAGCTGCCCTTCCGATCAGCACTGATGATTTGGAGGGTTTACTCGAGTTTCAGGTCGAGCAGATGCAGCGTATGTGAACTATCCTGGCAGCTTGCCTTTTCAGAGTAAATGCTAACCAACATAAACAGAATATGGCAACCGCGTCCCACTTGAGACACGGCAGAAGCTGCAAGACTTAATGCAGGACAGCTTGCTAACCCCAAGCGTATCCCACTATGTAAAGTGAGGTTTTCTCAAGCTGCCATCAATACACCCTTCCACTCCCTTCTTCCCCATTCTAACCATGTCTGCAGATTTCTCGATAGTTGGAGAGCAGGTGACCTACCCAATGCCTTCGACTATCTCCACCGCTACTTCGACTACACCATGCAAAACCGCGATCGCCTCTTCTACCAATACGCCCTAATGAACCTCGCCGTCCTCCAAGCCGAGTTCGGCTGCTACGCCGAGGCCGTTGACGCCATGCTCCAGACCGTGTCCACCGCCCGCGAGAACCGCGACATGACCTGTCTCAACTTCGCCCTCAACTGGCTCTTCCACTTCGGCCGCGCCCACCCCAGTCTCGTCGCCCACATCGACCCCGCGAGCACTCTCGGTTCTGCCAAGGAGACCCTCGCGTTCTTGCGTGTCCGCGCCAAGGAGACGGGCATGTGGACGTTGTGGAGCTCCGTGCTTCTCAGCGAGGCGAAGCTCACCTTGTCGAATGGCGAGAGTGTGGCTACGGCTCTGGAAAACGTCGTTCGGGCCTCGCAGGTTATCGTTGAGCGCAATGCCCGAAACATGTTCGCGCCGCATCTTATGCTCGTCGCTTCGCTCTGGGATCGTCTCGGTTTATCAAACTTATCCACCGTCACTTGCGAGGTAGCCCTCCGGGCACATGCGCCCCATGGTGTCTTCGAGGATGAGTTACGCCTCACTTGCAAACTTGCCATGGATCTAGCCGGTCGTGGGCGCTACGATGACGCTCTCCGGCTCCTAGATGACAAGCTCAACCCCGATGGCACCTTAGTAACAACATCAACCACTACGCCCTCCGCCTCGGCAGCACCACATACCCTACGCGCCGGGAAACCCCAGCAATACTGGCGCAAATACCGCGGCATAATCAAACTCCGCCGCGACCTCGCCCGCTCCGACCTCGACGGCGCCTCCGACCTCCTCTCCCAACTCCTCCAGTCCAAATTCGACGATCTAGAACCAGACATGGCGCTTTCCATCGACCTCCTACACGTCGACTACCTCACCCGCCTCGGCGACCTCCCCCGCGCATTTTCCCTCGTCGAGGATCTCCTCGCCCGCACGTCAGACGAAATCCCCCCCGCGCAACCCACCGACTCGACTACCACAACCCCTACGCCGGACATCGCGTTCCGCATCCGCCTCCTCCTCGCTAAAGCAAACCTCTACATCAGATCCAACCACCCAACCCGCGCCTTCTCCCTCGCGACACGCGCCGCCTCGCTAGCGCACCGCTCCCGCCTCCTCCCCCTACTCTGGCACTCCGTCGCCTCCCTCTCCTCCATCCTAACCTCACTATCTGAATTCTCCGCCTCCTCCCGCCTCCTATGCGCCGCCCTGCCCCGCGCGCTCGAATACGACGACACACACCTCGCAGCCACGCTGTACGCCTCCCTCGCCGACGCAGAGATGGGATTAGCCGGCCAGGCTGCCCCCGGTTCGCGCACCCGCACGGAACATCTTACCAGGGCCAACGACGCCCTCGACAGGGCCTTTGCGTACTTTGCCGAGGTGGAGGAGAGTGTGAGGGCGAGGGAGGTCATTGCGAAGCGGGCGGCCGTTATGAAGGTTTTGGGCGAGAAGGCGTTGGCGGCGCAGTATTCGGCCAAGTATGTGGCTTTGGTGGAGAGGGAGGAGGCGAGGAGGAAGGGGAGCGGGGTGGAAGTGGTTGGGAGGAGTTCGGGACTTTTTACTACTTGACGGTGTCCTCTTTTAAAAAAATGTTGCGTGGAGGTTTGATAGATAGCATTATCAAGTCTATATCGTACAGCTGGTTTGTTTTTCTCCCTCTCTCTCTCCCGGGGTTAGATAGTAGAGGAGATAGGTAGCGTGGACAGTGGGATCCAAGTACAGGAATCATGAGAAAAGGGTAAATAAGAGACAACAAGCATAAAACAGGAAACTCCAGTATTGATACCATTTCATATTTGCCCAGTCCTAAAAGGCACAAGAAAACAAGAGAGATCAAGAACATGAAAGAAGAAGAAGAAGAAAAGAAAAAAAAAAAAAAGAAACAAAAACCTGTCCTTGCTATAATACTAGTACAATTCAACCACTGACAATGAAAAAAAGGGGAAAAAACCCATGCAGTTCTGCTCCCATCAATCACACATTCTCTTTCTAGTCCCCTCAATTTGATCCACACACACAACTTCCCTGTGCTCTATGCCCTTTTCCCAGTAGCAAAAACAGAAAAAAAGAAAAAAGGACAGACTCCTCAGTCTTGAAAAAGCCATAGCAAGGAGGAGTTGTTCTCGTGGGTAATGTAATCCAGCAACACCTTCCACGGGTTTTCCTCCCCAGCAAATCCCGCGATGTGTAGCCCACAGATAGCAAGTGGCTACTACCTAAGCTGATGGTTAAGTTCGTACTTCTCTTCAATCAGCACAGAAGATACCCTTCTGGTATTTTTCCTCTGAGAACCTTATGGTCAGCTCCCTCAATTTCTTTTCGCCTCACTCCAGACGCCCCATTTCCACTCAATGATAATGAATCAGGTCAACAAAACAAAGAATAACGGGAGGGCGAAGATCAAGTCAGGAAGAGTACTACTCTGGCCTGGGTCGCTTCGCCCCATGGGGATTGCCCCATTCTTGGTTGCCTGATCCCATCTGGGGGAAGAAGCCGGGGCCGAACGGAGTTTGCATGCCACCTCCGAATCCTATAAAATCGAGTTAGAGAAGGAGCTGGCGGAGGCTAATGAGACAAAATATACGTACCTTGCATACCACCACCCATCATCCCCATGCCACCCATGGGATTAGGCATACCGCCCATCGGACCCATGCCCATCATGCCGTTGCCCATTCCGCCCCGGCCACCTCGCATTCCACCGCCACCTCCTCGAGGCATTCCCATGTTCATCATGCCGCCGCGGTTGAAGCCAAAGCCGCCGCCTCCGCCCATGGGGTTGCCGAACATCTGGTTGTTGTAACCGCCACCACCGCCCATGTTGCTTCCGCCAGAAAAGTTGCGGTTAAAGCCGGATTGGTTATTGTGCATGTTTCCGCGGTGGCCGTAACCTCCTCGTCCTCGGTAGTTGCCGCGGTAGTTTCCTCCTCCCATGTTGCTCTGTCCGCCGTCGTTATAAGAACCCGAACTTGACCTGTTGCGGTCGTCCTTGCCGGATCGGGCGGGGGCATCCTTGGGCAATGTGCGGAAGGGGTTGACGCCGGCCATCGAGTAGGAAACGACGAGCTTCTTGAATGGCGCTTGATTGGAATCGCTCGAGAGGGAATCGATAAAGCGCTTGACAGCGGTCGCCGCTTGCTGGGTGGCGAATTCAACGTAGGCTTGACTGAAACCAACGCAAGTTAGCATTGGGTGGACACCTAAGATAAGGGGATTAAGGCTTTCTCCGTCAAGCTCAAAACGTACCCCTTGCTCTTGCCATTAACCTTGTGCTCACTAAAGGTAACATCCTTCAACTCGTCTTCGCAACCAGCCTCGCGAGCATACGCGCGGATTCCATCATCGGTCGTCCACCAGTTCAAGTCGGAAAGCATGAGAGCAGCCGTCGCGCCGGGGTCAACAGGCCGGTCGTCGTTCTCAGAACCGCTCTTCCTCTTTACGCCTTGTTGGGGAGCATTACGGGTTTGGCTGCTATCACGGCCCGCGTTGCTATCATCGTAGCGTTCGTGTTCGTCCGCGTGGGAATCTTCGCCGTGGGCATGTCCGTCATTATACGACTGGGCGTCATCTTGGTGGGAAGACTGCTGCTCGTTGTTCTGATCGTTTGGCGCATCGCCGTAGATGTCAATCTCAAACTCCTCTTCGGCCATTGTGAAGATGCAGTTTATTCCTTTATAAGTCGTGTTAGGGGCTTCGATCGGGGCTATATGAGCGCAAATTCGATTATCTGGATAACAGGAAGGCTAAAAGCAAAAGGGTTCCTCTACTGAAGCGTTCCGCTATAGCTTAACCGCCAGGTCAAGAGGGGAGCCTCAAAAAGGAACGCTTCCAATGTTGAGTCTGGAATGAGGGAGCTGTTAGGTAAAAAATGTTGGTATTAGCATTAGCAGTTGGATATACAGCTTTGCGTCCAATACACAGGAAAAGAAGGCAATCCACCGCTTCGATCGTCGACATCTTGGGGATCCTTCCTCTCTTCGGGGGAAAAAAAAAGTAAAAATAAAAAATAAAAGAGAGAAAAGAACCTATGCGCCGGACAAAGCAGTGGTGTATTCGGGAAACAGGGCAAGAAAACACGGACAAAGGAAATGAAAATAGAAAGTACAAGAATTAAAAAAAAAAAAAAAAAGAAAAAAGAAAAAAAGAGAAGAGACCGAATAAGTCAAGGCAAGAAAAATAAGTAGAGACAAAGAAAAACACAAACAAGAAGACAGAACAATGTAAAATACGTACAGTCCAGACTCGACGTCGGCAAGACAGGTATAGAGAGGTAGGAAGTTTTTGACAGGTCAGAAAACGCGTTGCCCTTTTGTTCCCTTGAATCTTTTCGTCTCGATAGTGCAAAGATGATGACACCTATGTTTGAAGATCTGGATTGCTTCCTCCTGGTGGAGCGAGTGATCCGGCGCAATAGAAATTGAAGAAACGGCAAGTAAATGCAGAAGACGAAGCTCTGTGCTTGCAATCTTCTCTTTCCTAGAGGGAGAACTAGTATGTTCGATCCAAGCTGGCTCCTTCCTCCCCAGGTCACCAACAAGAATCGTGTTGCAGTTCCAGCAAAGAGCCTCAAAACCGGTCAGAAGCGCTGAGGATGATTCGGCCACTATTTCAAATGGCCACAAACTTCCCCGTGCACCGTCGCAGTAATGAGGCGAGATCGTGGGAGGATGGTGGACGTTCGATGGCTCGAGTCTGGCTAGGGCGAGATCAAGATCGGCAGTCGAAGCTCCTGCCTAGCTTGCGGCAAAGGCGAGCGAGTGCTGTGAAAGCTTCCCTGGGAGATTCGACGATCGAGTAGCTTTAATTCGGTGCTTGGATTCGAATTGCTTTATAGTCGAGGACAAACGGGGGGGAGATGGGAGGGTGGGCACGGTAGAGGTTGAGTCAGTGAGGATGGTAAGATCAGGGAGAGGAAGTTGGAGAAGGGCAGCAACGAGGCTCTAAGGCTGTTTTGCACTAAGAAGCCCCGACCTGACAAGACTTGGACCACCCCTTGACAAGTGTGGGTACGTACCGAGTCAATGTTGCAGGGAGCTCTCCGGTTGATTCTCGGAATAATAGTGTCAGTCGTTGATCCTTCTTTCCCCACATGACATGGATTTTATCAATGCTTCGTATTTTCAAAGACCCCAGATGCAGGCTGCCTTATTACCCTTGGACCTGGACTATATTACCGTTCTTCTATCCACGGTATCGAGTATTAACCATAAGCGAATGTAAATGTACGGCCCAAGCCTCCGGGATTGATCAATAAATACAAAGTCATCAACATTGATCCATCCCGTCCGAAATGCGGCTTCCATCACCCGAGTCCGAGGTACTTCTTTCGCCCCTTACAAACAGGGATCCATCAAATTGAATTCAATGATGTGCTCTCGAGATAACCGAGAACCGACAAGGCTGTAGCTTCTCCGTAACACATGCCCCAGCAATAGGGCATCCTAGATCATCTTGCGAAGGTGGTGGATCTCGTGGCTCTTGGAATGTGTGCAATGAAATAGCGCCCTCGCGCATTCCATGCATTCCGTCGGTACTCCAAGCCGAAGCTACCGAAGTATATTAGTTAACCATGACTTTTCTGTTTTCGAGGCAAAATAAAAAGAAAAAGAAGAAAATAAAATAACGCGATACTAAGGAACTCAAAAAAGTCGAACTTACTTGCGATAGCAGGCACGCTCGGGTGCCAGCTAGCATCCCTAACAATCATATTCCACGGTGAATACCGATCCCTCGACATCGGCGGTGTAAACCTTCCCGCGTTCTCCAGCGAGTGGAATATGCTCGTCGCAACATCGATCTTCCCTGCGAGCGTGGCATCCAGGTTCCAGATGAAGACTTCACCCGAGGCGCTTCCAGAATAAACGTATCGAGAGTCCGAGCTGCCAGGAGGCGAGAAATGGCACCGGATCAACGTTCGCAGAACCTCGTGGCCGCGGAACGTCACAGCTGAGTTGTCGTTCTTATCCTTGAACCAGTCCGCATCTCTAAAGTTCTCCCATCTGTAGTCGAACGTCGCCACCCTTCGCAGGCCTATGCTTCGGAACCGGTCCGTCGACATGGCCATCCTGAGATCCCACAGTTTCATGCTTTGATCTTTTCCGTTGCTGAGGATGTAGCGGCCGTCGCCCTTGCTGTCGATGTGTGTGATGCCTTCTATATGACCCACGAAGGCTCCGGCTTCACGGCGGTCGCCCATGCTACGTCTATCCCATACCTAGGAGAGGTAGCGATTTTAGCTTAGAATCACTAATGCAGAGTGAAAACAAGGAAAAAAAAAAAAAAAAAGACCCACGAACCTTGATTACACTGTCGTCTGACCCAGAGTAAAGAATATGAGGTGAAGAAGTATCCGCAAAGCAGACGGCGTTGACGTCGTCACCGTGTCCTCTCACACGAAGGAGTGGTGTTCTCGATTCGATGTCGTAGGCAATTATGGCATGCGTATTCGTCCCAGCAATTAACTCCCGACCATCTCCCGAGAAACGAACGGAGAATATGCCAAATCTACGGTGCATATCTTCATCCCCGTCACCCGCATTATTGACGCTAGCGCCGAGGTCCAAGGTATACGGATCACCTTCGTCGCTTGGATCCGTCGGCGTCAAACAGACTTTCGGCGAAAGCGACGTATAGGCCAGCCATTTGTTATCCGGACTCAGGGAAGCATCTGTGAGCGTCCATTGCGCCCAAGGATGCATGACCGTCTTGTAATGCTTCCAGCTGTAGGGATTCGAAGTGTCGTATAACCTCACTTTAAAGTCGGCTCCACCAGCGAAATAAAAGTTACCGTCGCGGGAGAACTGACCAGAGTATACGGGTTCCCTGAAATAGATAGTCACGTCTGTCTTGTTCTTCGGTATCATGCTCTGGAGTAGAAGCCTCTCCATCCTTTTCCGTTCAGCAAGGGTGCCAGCTAAGCCGAGCTCTCGTTCCAGAATCCGTAATGAGGGTGCCTTTATCCACGTCTTTTCACCGGGGGCGGGATGTGCGCCGAAAGACCCCGCGTCCATGAGTTCCCTTCCTTCCTTGCTCGGTACCTTTGGAAAACGGGCCGGGTCTGGTCGGTGGCTAGCTATCCATTCCCGAAACTCGTCTCGCGACACGTGCCGTTCACTACTCTGAATTTGATCGAGGAGGTTTTCTTCATGGATATACCTCAGCTGCGCCCGAGTCAGAAGAGTCGGACGATTATGGTAATCACCTAAACGAGCGGAATGTGGTTAACACGGATTTACAGGAAAAATAGTTGAAACTATGGGCATAACGAGAAGAAGAAAGATGGTTTTAGGCCGACGCACTCTCCACTTCAATTGCCAACCGCCTCCGTGGTGTTAATAACGAGTCTGGCTGATCGTCTCTGCCATAAGGCTCTGTGTAGACAGCATGGAACTCGGCGCCTATGGACATCGGTTAGCTAACTTCCACACACTTAGCTGGGGGACACAAAGCTTGATGAAAAGAACAACCTTCAGACACGAGCTGTTCAATTCCGAACTCATCTTCTCCCTCGCTCTCACCGTAGTCCTCGAAATTATTGATTATAGCATTGAGGTTGGCAAATAAGCCGCCATCTATGAAATCCTGAAGAAGCTGTTCGGTGATGCCGCCTTCGAGTTCATCAAGTAGGGGTACTCCATCGCCGCTAACATCGATTTCATTCTCCTCCTCGTCCTCCTCGTCCTCCTCTTCCTCCTCGTAATCATCATCGCTCTCCTCTAATGGCTCCCACAGTGGGTCTTGAGAGCTGGTAGACTCCTCGGCAGATTGCTCTGGGGAGGTGACCTCTGGATTACCCGACTCATTATCAGTAACCATTGAAGCAGTGGTCTAGATATTTTCCGATGTATGATTACTGGTAGAGAATATTCAACTGAGATGTACGAAGCACAAAGGATTAGAGTAAGTTGCGGGGGTCTTGAGTGCCTTTGCTATATTATCAATTGATCTGTCGTCGGGTTCTTGGGAAGCCGGAAGAGATCCTTGAACGCTGACGTAAATGGCACTTGCTTGCTTAACTCCGGGTCTAGTAAGCCCGAACCCGCGGGTTGACTCCCCCAGAAAGACAGGGACAGGCCCAATTCTTAAGCCTTTTCAATCTCGAAACGAACTGGATTTGAAAAGAGTTCGAGATCAATTAGATCCGAAGTACGAAGTACATGAACCTAATTAATAGAGGGCTGGATGTGCAATATTACCAAGACACTGGACCCGTGCCACCACAAGTTACATCTGGGCCAATTTAAGTTGCTGAAAACTGTCTCACTTGCAGGGCCGTTTTGGCAGTGATCCCCCAAAATCAGGGGGTACATCTCGGGGAAGCAGGAACTTCTGATGCCAATTATAGCCCTCTGTGAATGAAGCCTCAAGCTTCATGTTAAGATGAACGCTGGCGAAGACGCGCGTACCTTGTCCGCTGGGAGAGTTTGTGCACTGTCCGCCACCCATGAAGAATACTACATTCTACCTGTGTACGAAGTACAAAGTACATTGAAATGCATCTTAAGGGGCTCCGTGTGTCAGTCTCCGCTTTGGGCATCCTGATCAAGATGGACGGTGGAACGATGAGGTCTCCCAGTATTGATATTAGTGTCATATCTCGTGCAGGAACACCAACGCGAAAAAGGTCCACCTTATTGCTTTACTTCAATTGATATTGGTCAATTGATGGATCGGCGTCAGAGACGATGGAGTATCACAAGCCAAAAAGTTGTTCGATGCTCAGCCACTCTCATGTGGAAGGCACTGTCTATTAGCACTGTATACAAATTTAGGAGGTGTTAGGGAGGAAGGCGCTGTGGGGAGCGGACCTGGCCACCAACCGCATGTCTCCTTATTCACTGTCTTTCCAACAGTTGCTGCGCTGGCCTTGATTATTTTCTGCCAGCCAGGTTGGTCAACTCGGACTCCTATTGAGTGATTCGTCTGATTTTCAAATTCAATTTGTCTTTTCTCTCCTTTCTAGTCTCTCCCTAAGGTTTCAACTTTTGGCCTTCTTTCTGAATTCATTCTTTCTTCTTTTTCGCACTTGTGTGCCTGCCAGTGTTTCTATTCGAGAACGACCCGGTTTTGTATACTAGATCCCCCTTGACCTTTGGTGACTTGCGTGCCATTGTCGTCCTGCGACAGCCTGGCTCTCGTTGAAGCCACATCATCACTCCCTCCCGGCGACTTAATTCGATACCCTACCGCAGACATGAGATTACGAACCCGACAAGCGAACCTCCTCCTTCTCCTCGCGCCCGTTCTTGCAACGGCTCTCGCCTCCGAAGCCGCCACCCGTGATGAGGTGAGCGCCGTCAACCCTCGAGCCGACGCCAATGTCGCCCCCAAAGATGGCAACGACGGCAAACCGCATAATGGCCCCTGGGTCGAGACGGACGGCAAGATTGACGAAGACTTACCGGCCTTGGCCGGCCGCCCCGATGATCCGACTATCATCGACGGCAAGAAGATTCCTGAATCCAACGACGGTGTGATGGACGATCCGAACCGGCTACCTCCCAAGGAGGGTACGCGGGGAACTGAAGGCGGAGTATCAGAGAAGGGCAAGACGAGGAATGACCAGGAAGGAAAGGTCCCCGAGACTCCAAAAGAGGCTCCCGCGCACCACGTTGTCGAGGAACCAGTTGCGACCGTTGATGATACCAAGAAAGATGATCGTCCCAAATCTAGCGAGGAAGCTTCCGGCCTCGAGGTTAGTCGTAGCGCGATCACATTGGAATTTTTTTCGGCATAGCTAACAACTGTATTCAGAAGCCCGAGGATCTCCCCGAGCGAATCGTCGACCACCCGATCCCCGTCCCAGACTCCGTTCAACGGGGCCACATGGATGTCTCCCACGGTGACGCCTCAACTGACTCCACCTTTGTCGAAGGAGTCATTCAACCATTCCACACATTCCTTCTCTCGTTGGCTATGATTCTAGTTTCCGAAGTGGGAGACAAGACTTTCCTGGTTGCAGCTCTCATGGCCATGAAGCATGACCGCATGGTTGTTTTCTCCGCCGCCTTCAGCGCGTTACTAGTCATGACCGTCCTGTCTGCGATTCTCGGCCAAGCCGTGCCGACGCTACTCTCCCACCAGGTCACCAGTTTCTTAGCTTCAGTTCTCTTCTTTGTCTTCGGCGCGAAGTTGCTGCGGGAAGGCATGGCCATGTCTCCAGATGAAGGCGTTGCGGAAGAAATGCACGAAGTTGAGCAAGAGCTTGCCGAGAAAGAGAAGGATATTTATGCTCTTGAGATGGGTATTGGCGGTAACAGGAAATCTCGCCCCAAGGGCCGGTTCCCTGCCCCTCCCAGGTCTCCATCCACATCTCCCACTCGTAGCCCCTCCCCTCAAGGGCGAACCTTCAAGAACTTTGTCCAAGGTCTTGAAAACCTCCTCTCTCTTCTCCTTAGTCCCGCCTGGGTACAGACCTTCGTCATGACTTTCCTCGGCGAGTGGGGAGACCGCAGCCAGATTGCGACGATTGCCATGGCGGCCGGTCCCGATTATTGGTCCGTCACCCTTGGGGCGATGGCTGGGCACTGCGTATGCACCGGTGTCGCCGTTCTGGGTGGTCGCGCCATTGCTGGCAAGGTCAGCATGAGAGTTGGTAAGTCATACAAACTCACTGCAACTCCGTCGCCCAAATCATCAAACTAACAAAGTTCCACAGTTACTCTCGGAGGTGCCATCGCCTTTATCATTTTCGGTTTCATCTACCTGTACGAATCTATCTATTAGACCTCGACCGAGCGACCAGGCCCCCCCACCCCCCATCTACCACCTTGCACTTGACTTGTTTTTCTTTTTACTCCTGTACTTTGTTGTAATGTCAACGACACGATTGAATTCGTTTCCCCATCCAAAAACCAGCGTGTTCAGTTGTCGGTACCTGAACACGGTGGAAAGTGTATTAATTGGTTTGCAAAGAAAATTCGACATGAAAGAAAGGGAAGACACTACTGAAGCTCTAAACATGGGTCGGGAGGTGGGAACTTTCAGGGAAATGCGTCTCATTCTTTATCCTTTCCTGCCAACGGTCCTTTTTTTCGTTTTCCTTCTTGTTTGGGTTTTATACTTTCACGGTTTATAGAAAATCTCGGGGGCAAGAGCATGTTTGACTAAAGCTGGCGTTCCTGTATAATGTATCAAAGTATAAGCGAGGGATCAATAAAATTCAGGCAGTGAGAGAGGCAGAAAACGGAGATGGGTTTGCCTGGGGGTTTCACAGCTGGAAATAACTTAATAGACTTTTGGCGAGCTTTGGTTTCACTGCACTTGTTTTCATATTTCCATGATATTTCACATTAGTCGTATGAAAGGCAGTGAGAACACAATGCACAAGCGGGCAGAGTGACATATGTAAGTCGGGCTTCCTTTCGACCTTGGGCCAAGACTGAGCTTAACTACTTGTCCTACGACTAGGTATTTCCCTGGGACTTAAACTGTTTTCTCTCGGCATTGTTACATACGGCGCCAATTTTCCTTCTTGAGTAAAGGACTTCGGAGATAGGTAGTCGCGTATCGTCGTCGAACAGAGCGACATGCCAGACGATTTTTGGTCCAGATCTTAGCACGATTCTTGTTCAAGTGGGTGGGGTCGTGATATGGAGAGCTTCGCCGAAGATCTCCCCTTTTGCTGCGCTCAAAACACCAGGGTCGGCTAATTTTCGGCACCATGCGTCTTCTTGGAAGAAATTCACCCCAGAAAAGTACGACTCCAGCCTGGGAGCCGGCTTCTCGAAATTTCAGTCACGTGTCGAAATTTTTTTAGGGCTCGTTCAATCCAAGTACCCGCACTCAATCGACCCTCCAGCCAAACCCAGGCCTTGCAGCATCCGTTCAATCGCCAAACTCACCCATCTTTTCCATCGTCAACAACCCATAAACTACCGGCAAAATGAGTACGTTGAACTCCCTCCAATTGAAAAATGTCGAAATATAGACCTGTTTTCTCTCGAGAGAACGAGTCTCGAATTGGAAGAAGTCGTTACTGACCTTTTCGTCACCTCCGTATAGCGAAGGGAACGTCCAGCTTCGGCAAGCGCCACAACAAGACGCACACCATCTGCCGACGATGCGGTTCGTATCCTCCCATTTGCCCCGATCTCTCCCTCAATTTCCTCGGAAGAAGAACGATGTCAACGACGTGAAGGATCTGGGTTGGAGAACATATTTTCGAACATATTTTCCCGAGGAGGAGGAATGAGTCGCGATGAAGTAAAGGGCTTGGCTGACGAGGCTCTCTGGGATATAGGTCGTCGCTCTCTCCACATCCAGAAGCACACCTGCGCTTCTTGCGGATACCCCGCCGCTAAGGTCCGAAAGTGTACGTTTTCCACCATCTAGGTTCACGGGTTCCAGGCAGGAATATGTCTTTCTTTTGAAGTGGGAGGGGGCGCTGACATAGGGGACGCGCAGACAACTGGTCCGAGAAGGCGAAGCGAAGGAAGACCACCGGCACCGGCCGCATGCGATACCTCAAGGATGTCCCCCGACGATTCAGGAACGGCTTCCAGACCGGCACTCCCGCCGGTGCCCGAGGACCCTCGAAGCCATGAGCTGCTTTTTTCCGTCTTAATCTAAACGAAAAGTTGGCGAACGGGCAGGGGGTTGGACTTTAACTCTTTTTGGCATCTTCTTTTTTTGTCCCTTTCCTCTTCTTTTCAACCCCGACCACCGACAAATAGTCTTTATGTCTCCTCCAAACTCGGGGGAGGACTGAGGGAGGAAACTGGGAAAAAGAAAAGATGAGGGGCAGGGAAAGTCGAAAATAGAGACGGAGTTTTCTTTGTTAAACGCCGGCACGCAAAGGGAGCAATAGGGGCTATGTTTGTTTGGTATGAAATTAACATAGGGGATGAAAGGGTTTTTTTTTTCCTTCTCGCATATTCCCGATCCGGATCGATGAGGGAAACAATGAAAAAAAGAAATGTGCAAAAAAGCCACAATCTTCCACCCTGCGCTTGCCATAGCATTCGAAGGAGGGATATGTCTTGGAGTTCTCGGTTCCCGAGTTTCTCTTTTTTCCCGCCCTCCCAAACCTTGCCATTGAATTACTCGGGAGTATAGGTTCCAACACCCCCGTCTTCCAAGTCTTGCCTTTTCATGACGAATTCAGTGTTCCTGAAAGACTGTACTAGAAAAGGCCGTCATTGATAAACGCGGCCACGCTCGGGTATTCCCATCGCCATGACTGGTATTCTATTTATGCCCATTTCTTATAAAAGCCTTCCAATTGAGTCCCAGACTCTTACTGGCCCCTCTCGAATATCTTAACACCTCCATCCTGGGCGACGAAGTACAGGTACTCATGCGCCTCCACCTCCTCTCCCTCTTCCGCTTCACCGTCTTCATACGCACCACCCCTCGTAATTCTCAGCACACCGCTCACATCAGTCGCAGTACCAGTATCTAACCGCCGCACGGAGAGCACGACACGAGCTTCATGCGCAGTAGCGAGGGCAAGGGAAGCATGTGAGCGTTCGAGGGTCGTAGTCTGGGAGTGTATCAGCGGTTCGTCGGCCGCCAGTGTGAGGACGGAAGCGTGAACTTTCTAGTTTTGGTGGGGCGACAAAGCTCGAGTTAGCAGAGAGGCCTCTTCGTAGATCAGAATACGATTCATACCTCGCGTAGAGAAAGGATTAGGTCTGCTATCTGAACGCTGGTATTCTGAGAGCTTGTCAGCGCCAGATAGCAATCCGGTTGGTCTATCATCAAGATGGTTTTCCGACTCGTCGCGGTCGGCGTAGATGTGATGTCGACAATCGCGCGATTGAGTTCGGTGCGTAGGTCGGCGAGCTTCCCAGACCGTAGGGTTCTTCGGCCCCTGGGTTGAGGCGGAGCGTTACTGGGAGGTGGCACGAAGAGGCCTGTGAGGCCATCTACGAAGATTAGTGTTCCTTGGTTTATCGCAGAATCTAAGTCTACGCCCTGTACTCTCCTTCTTTAGTATATATTCCAACTTCACCGGTCTCGACAGCGTATATCTAGAATATATGACGGCTCTCTTGAACGGGAAACGTACCAACCTCGCCGCTCCCTCTTTCCAAAACGCATAATCCCTCATAAAACTAACAAAAACAATCGCCTTGTCGCCTCCTCTTCTCTTCCCACCGACCTCATCTTCATCGTGGTCTTCGTCGTCGGAGCCCCTCGCCGGACGAGCGAGGTGCTGCGCAAGGTACCGGAGGAGGAGCCAATTCGTCGTAGCACCAAGGACGGATGTGAGGAGAGTTAGAGAGGAGGCGGGTAGAGGGAGGTATGGCTCGAGGAGATGGGGGATTCGTGTGGACATTATAAGGAGCCGGAATTCTTTTTTTTTTTTTTCTTTTCCTTGATTCAGGTGGAAGCTGGATTTCTTTGTTATGGAGGGGTCGTGTTCGTCATGGTGGGGACAGTGTACAGAAACGAATTGTTTGCACAGTACCATGACATACTCGGAAACTTCAAGTGTGGCAGGGAAGAGATCGGAAAGGATTTCTTTTCTATTTTGTTTCACTTTTACAACAGCGTCTATAGTAGATGACAACAGCTCCATCGAATCCCGATACTGAATCGAAAAGAAAATTAGAATAAAAAAATATATCATAACTCTAATTAATCGTATCCCGCAACGTCTTGAACCGCATTAAGCATCATTCATGGCATCAGTTAGTCCCGGGTTGGGGTATTTCATATGCAAACAAAAACTTGATGAAAAGCAGAGAGAGGATGGGAAAGGTGCAGTGAACTAGATGATCATCACCACACTCTTTTTACAGCGTGGAGTTCGCAGCCAGAGCCAAGAGGATCGCGAATCCTGTGATGACCTTCGACACAGATCCACCGCTGGCACCACCAGCAACCAACGTTGAGGTCGGGACCTCAGTCGTCAACGTTGTCGATGTAGTGGTCGGTGTGGTAGTACGCGATCTGAGGACCGTGGACGGTGTGGTGGGTACGTGAACGGTGCTCTCCGCTCGCTTGGTGCTAGGCACGTCAACAGCCGGCGTTCCCTTTGGAATATCAACAGTCACTTCTTCGGGAGCGGAAGGAACCTCGGGAGTTGAAGGGATCTCGGTTGTGTAGGACTGGGCTTCCGGGGAGGTGATTGGCTCGCTTGCTGCGAGAGGAGGTGGGATAATGAAGGTAAGAGTCGAGTCAGGGCCATCCTCCCAGGGAGTGTTGGTGGCTACTGGGATCTCTAGTGGGATCCCGGGAGTGGGTTCACAATCCAAGGTAACCGTCTCAACCGTGCAGAAAGTAAGCGTAGAAGTAATGGTTGTGGCATAGTCACAACCTGTACGACCCGGAACGGTAACCGTGAAAGCCTTGGTGATGACCTCGGAGAGAGTCACTTCGACCTCGCGAGGAATGGCCACTTTGTCTCCGGAATTGCTGCAGGCCACACGACAGACTGAGCCGTCTTGAGGGAAATGGGCAGGGTTTGGCCATACGTCGCCGATTGCGGCGCCTTCGCTGTCCCGATCATCACCAGATGCTGGGTCTACATCACTCGCACTGCTGCTTGAGGGGAGAGCCGGCGAGTCACTGGTGGCTGAGGGCGTAGCGCCGCTGGTGCTATTAAGGAATAATATAGGAATCGAAGGTGCGGAAGATGGAACCTCGATGGAAGTAGAGGTGGAATCGGAAGCCGGAGTCGGAGTGGAAGTTTGGATGGAAGCCGAAGTCGACGTTGAGGTTGAGGTTGAGGCTGAGGTCGAGGTTGAGATCGAGGGCGAAGGGGGAGTAGAGGAAGTAGAGGTAGTAGAGGGGGAATCAGCAGGGGCAGGTGAGGATCTCAATGTATTTTGGAGAGGAGTCGTGGGACGAGGAGTGGTCTTCGTCTCCGTCACTGTCGATTGACGTCGGATGGTTGTGGTTTCAGGAATGGAAAGAGATGAAAGCTGCATTTGGAACGCATTTGCACATTCGCTGATACTCAAGTTCTAAAAGTTCTGTTAGGACTGTTTCCTTCATGGTCAAGTTCGATGAGGCCATCACTTACATCCGGACAACAAAAGGTATTTCCGTCGCTGGCTCCCGCGCAGTAAAATCCGGCATCACAAGCAGCTGCAAAACATCGGTTAGCGCCACGAATGAAAGATCTGGAGGACCCACCAAGCGTATAAATGATCAAAACTTACTTCCGGTATTATCCATGCAACACCGTTGACCTTTGGTAGGATCGAAACAGAAGAGTGCATCGTCCCGACTACCTTGACACTCTTCATACCCGGAACCACAGGCGGAGCACGTCACCTCATCGCCTTCGCAAACTCCAAACTCGGGCTGATACCCTTCGTCCCTCTTTTGAAGGGGTTTTGGCGTTGAGCGAGCAGGACTCGTCCACTTGTAAACGGGGATATGCTGGAGGGCAGTGGTGAGAACCAGTAGGTGCGAGAGCACCAACGCAAAGTGTAGAGTCTTCATTGGAAGGAAACGGTTATTAGGAAGGGCAATAAACACGCGAGAAATAGGACGAAAGACTCTGAATGTGATTGACTTATGTATGATGTGATGAAATTGAGAATGGGGAGGGAATAAGGAAGTTGCAGGAAGCATATGCATGATTTATATCGTAGATCACAGGCTTGAGATCCCTTCGGTGAACCCTCCCGGCCTCTTTTTCTTTAGGCACACACCGTTTTCCGCTCCTCCACTGAGCGGCTAGAGGCTTCCAGCCACTCTCCTCCATCGTTTGGGCGGGGGCCTTATCCGATGTCTCATCTTAGTCGGCTGCCCTGTGAGGCTGGTATCGTCACGGCAGATCTAATGGCGAGGCCGCCCAGATTCCAACACCGAGGCTGGAAGTCTTTCGACGGGTCGGCGCTAGAGTCTTGAATTATTGGTAAACTTCCCATCGTAGGGCCGACTTCTCCTCAGGGTAGGTGTGGCGAAGCCGTCTTGTTGCCAGAGCAGGCCAGATGTCTCAGGGTCCGCTAACCCTTCGATGTGGCTGGATCACAGTCAACACCCACGCTATCCGGGCCGTCTAGGAGAATAGAACGGAGAAATTCCTAGGCACAGTACTCCCCGAGCAAATAGTATCCGGCCCAGGGGGCTGAGGCCGACCAGAGCTTTAGGTTGGCGGCAGGCGATGAAGATTGTTGTCTCATGTCTCACAATCCGCTCTTGAAGATTGAGCATCCAATGCACAATCGATGCCTCTTTGCGTTCTCGATGCCCGGCCATCGCGTTTTCATACTTTTTGGGGAATGTCCGGACTGATATTGAAGCGAGCTGATTCCCTCGAGACTAGACTTCTCGATCTTAGGCGAGCAAGTAATACTCAACCCACCACTTTTTCGTAGGGTTACGCCAGAGTTTTTGTCCACGGCTTGCCCTTGGCAGCTGAGATGCCTGCCGGTTGCTATATCTCCGCATTTGAAGTAACATCCACCAGGAGGACCCTTGTTGGATCAACTTTCTATCCACGTCCAGTCACGATGCGATGTTCATGGAAGTTGGTTCATTCCCATGGCACTGCCAGAACGGAGGCTTACGAGGTCTACGGGGTATCCTGTATCAGGGATCTCGTTTTGGCAAAAGATTTGTTGTTAGCTCGCGAGCGTATGCCCATTCCCGTTGGCATGTGTGCCTTGTGTTTCAGTGACGAATTAAGCTGCTAAGGTTGCCAACAAAACTCTTCTTTCCGAAGAGGAGCCTCTCGCCTATCCCGGCAGCAAATTATAGAGAAAATCGAAAAAAAAATATCCAAGAAGATTCCCTTGAGAATTTTGTGCACAGACGAGTTTGCAAAGAAATTCTTCAAACAAAAAAGGGCTGGGTGGCTGCTCTAGTGAAGATCGTCATCGAACCCAGCCTCGTGGCCAAGGTGAGACATCGTTGGGCCCCGAGGCAACCACCTCGAAGCTAAAGCCAGACCCTGATTTCGGCCCTATCTCCTTTTGCCCCTCCATCGCTGTATCTTCATCCCGCGCCATGAGGGGTCGAGACGAGGCTGGGGATAAAGCCTCCCGCATCATGCTAGTGACGGACCTCCGGGGGAAGTAGGTGGAAAGCATGAACAAATGGCGAAAGCTGTGCCCTGCATATTGTTCTTCAAGAGAGGTGAGTCCTCGCCACTTCTTAGGACAGATGGACTCACCCTCAACCTTATCCACCTCACTCTCGTTGCATCCGGATTCAAGGACATTTCTTTTTTTTTTTCAACCCTGGCTTGTTTTCTTTCACCATCCCCGAAGAACAACAAGACAAGCATATCCAAAACGCTACGGTAACATCCATCACTGGCATGGTCCAGAATTTCCGACATCTCAAAATACTGGACGGGCCTGGGCATCATGGGCCAAGCATTATCAATGACAAAGTTCGTTGGGACGGACAGGCGTATAGTAGTAAGTCCTTCCTCATCACGTTTGCTCCTGATTCCTTGAAAGTGATCTGACGCAAAGACTCCTCTGAATAGGCTCAATCCTACCCACCATGCCACTTATTCGGCGACTCCGACATATACGGAATCGGTATTCGGTTAGGATTCTACCTCCAGTATCTCGCTGCCATCATCGCACTCTCGACGGGGTACACAAACGGCCTCAAAGCCCTCCGAACAGGGCTCACAATTCTCTCCATATCCCTCTTCGTCACGCTATGTACAACCTCCACAGGGAACGGACTAGTGGTACTCGACTGGTATATCGTCATGGCCTTGACGGGCGGGTATGTCTTCTTCACAGACCTTTTCGTTCGCCTCGCGGCAGCCAAAGTCTATTGTGTCAAGAAATCCCGCAAGACGAACAGGGACAGCGAAGTTTCAGACCGCAGAGATACGCGGGTCTCCGTCGCGGATCTCATGAGAACAGATGTCCCCGAGACGGTGAAGCCACGCCAATCCACGCTCATAGAGGCGGGCCTGGCTGTTTACAGGACTCACTACAACCTATCCGAAGCAACAGAAAGACAAGACCCCGCAGATGAGGACCGTACCGCTTTCCGGCATGCACTCATCGAGTTCGGGCGTGCGGCTCGGGACTGCCCCGACGTTGCGGCGCGGTATTCGCTCGACAAAATAGCACGCACAACATCGGCGCCATATACCGGCGATAGCAGGGAAAAACAAGACGACCAGTTTGACAGGAACCAGTTCCGTTCCGACTTCATCCAGGCCGCCCGCGGCACCGGCATGACCAATACCGAAGCGGAGCGTCTTAGTCGTCGCATCGCATCCGAAACGAAGAAAGAGGCCGCCGAGGAACGGTCGCGGGCCACTCTCGTCGAGATTCGTGAAGCAATGCATGCCGTGCGCCCTCGCGACATGCTTGCCGTGGGAGTCATCTGCCTCTCGTGGGCTGCCTACCAATTCGTCCGTCCGTGGCTTTACTGGAGAGGGCTCAGGCGGGGTCTCAAGCCGGGCTGCGATGTGAAGCTCATGTGGTTCTTCGTGCCTGCGAGTATTTACAACGAGAGGTTCGGTACATGGCTGCGCGTCTGGGGAATTATCATGTTTGTGGGCGGCGTAATATACTTTTCATACGGAGCCTATCTGATCGCGACCAATATGTTCGCGGCGCGCAGATGGTTCTCCCGCAGTCGGAGTGTCTCCGACGTGGAGTCTCAGCGAGGTCTTCTCAGGGGAAACGCGACGCCATCTCAGGATGGGTCGTCGACTGCTTCCACTGTGACTCCGAGGTCTCAATGGACTGGACCGCTGCGGCGAAAGCGTGCCAGTAAGCGCTGCCGTTTTTACTTCCGGGTCGTGGCCGGATTTCAGTCGGTTATCCTCATTGTGAGCATCGTCGTGGTTGAGGGAACACTGTCCATAAACAACGTCGACATGACTCGTGGAGACCTGCGTACATCGAGTCAGCTCATGGCCTTTGTTGTCGGGGTCATCTCGTCGGTTCCTGTCTTTTGGGAGTGCCTTGTAATTGCACCCCTGAGATGGGCAATTTTGAGGAAGAAGAAGGGGCATGGGGTTGGAACGTGGTATGTCCGCCGTACAAGGATCGAGTCAACAACAACTGTTCCCGACGACGTCCAGATGACATCGGCAAATGTGGTGTGAAGTTTCCACAGGCTGTTCTGACCACTCGGGATTTTAATCCCCGAGGTGCCCACCACTATCGAATGGAGGACGACAATGTTGGGTAGGAGGTGGCAGTTTCTCCATTTTTGTTTTGCATCATTATTTATTTTCTTTTCCCCTTTTTTCTTTAGAGCATTTCAAGCATTTGGTTATCATTTCCTATCCACACTCGGCGACAATCTCCTTGCATTTTTTTCGGTTGTTATTTTGTGGAATATTATTCTCCTGCATTAGGTTCGGTAATGGGTTCTTGACACGGAAGGATCTCGCGATGTCTGCAAAAACCAAACCAATCAGTATATAACGTTGGTAATAGAAATTATATTTCCTAATCGCAACTCCTGCGGGGTAGCTCTGAAGCTACAAGAAACGTCCTACTCCAAAGCTTTGAGTCGCGCTCGTACCCCATGGCATGTTAATAGGTTGCAGCCCATCTGGGACGGGAGGTCCCTCGAGGCTGGTGCGGTGTGGTATGTTATCTGCAAGATGCATGTCAATGGATGCAAGCACCCACCTTGACAACCTGCAAGAGTCCAACTAATCCATTACATTTTGAGGCGTCGCGGGTATGATGGCTGGTGCATGTCCTCGTCTCCGACCTATGAGAGGCTCGTTGCGTCGAAGTATTTTGTCTTTGGAGATGTATTGCTGTGGTGCACGACCACATGCCCTGCAACCTCCATCTCCCGCCCGTAGCCTGCGATCTGGCAACTATCGTGACCTGTCTCTGGTCCTAGTTCGTGCATTACATTTGCCTGCCGCGAATAAAAGGGTTATGCTCCCCTTCTCACTCCCTGGTACACCGTACTGTGTTCTTCCCCTCATCACATGGGCTCAGCATTCCTGAAGATTCGAATCACTGGACAGACCGAAGTGTAAATCGAACGTTGGCGAAAATCGGTTTATCGGGCCTTTGAAACCGAGACACCTCAAAGCAGGCGAATTTTATAGTCCTGCGTGGCTGGTCGATTCGCCCTGGTCACACTCGTATTTTGTTAGGGTTGTGGAAATAATTCGTGCTCACCATATTCTTGCTGCCCAACACACCCCCTGCAGCTTGCTTTCATTTTTTTTTTTTTTTTTTTTTTTTTTTTTTTTCCGCGACGATGTGGACGAAGCCCGCGACGGAGCCGACGGAGCCGAAACTTCAACGGCGGAAGAACCCTGGGCGGCGGATTGCGCAGATCGTGAAACTCAAGCCTGAGTTCGTCGATAAGTACAAGGAAGTGCACGTCCGCGTGTGGCCAGAGGTGTTGAAACAAATTAAGGACTGTCGGATTGAAGACTGTGAGTTAGGTTCATGAGCTTGTCTAATTTAGTTAGCTTTGGCTTCAAGCTCCCAGCGTCCCGGTTTTTCTTCCACCAGCTCGTTGCTAACGCGAACTTCGACGCGTGGTAGACTCCATCTTCCATGACGAAGGAACGGGAATCCTCTTTGCTACCTTCAAATACGTTGGCTACGACTATGAAGGTGACATGGAGCGTATGAGGGAAAATCCGAAGGTGCAAGAGTGGTGGGCGATGACGGATAGTTTCCAGGAGTCATTGGTTCCGGGGGCAACTAGCAGCGAGTCCGGCAGCCCGTCCTGGTGGAAGCCGATGGAGGAAGTTTTCCACGTGGACTAAGAAGAAGAAGAGGCACGGCCGGCCAGGTATTATTTTTGATATCCTCGAGATCCTCGATACGAAATGAAAATAATCGACTTTCGATGGACGCTGAGCGCGGGACCTCAACAATGGAACTGACTTTGTGCCCTGTGCGGTGAGGCTTACTCAGGAGAGCTCAACTTGAGAGTCCGCAAATTGTATTTAATTTGATCCTCTCATTCTCTGCTTCCTTCATAATCTTAGGTATCAGGATCCACCTGCCGTCTAATTTGCTCTGTTATTTGCACTTTCCGGCAAGCCTTCGAAGTAAACTACGAAGTGCACATCAGCACATGTAAAATCATAAAGAGGGAGTGCGGGAATACTGGAAAGAGCACCTGTTCGGCCAGCTTGACCGGAGCTACCAGTATTTAGTATAAATCCGGCTCAGGAGAGAGCCACCATTCGGAGGGACTGCTCCAGGTTACAATGTACCTGCATCATTCTTTCTCCCCTCCTGTTGCTCTTACTGGAACTGGAACCGAACTTTTTCAGCTGGTGCTGGCTAGCTCCCACATGACATTCCTTTTGGGTCTCGACTTCCCACACTAGATTATGAAGTACTTCCTCCAAGTTCCCCAGCATGTGGGCATGGGGCATGGGGCACGGGGCGTGGGCGGTGGGTCTTTTCTCACCTTCCCGTGATGTATCGATCTTGGCTTTCGCCTTCGCTCTCTCCCATTTCCAATCCACATGCCCGGGTTAAGACTCGAAGAGAAGGAACCAGAGAATCGATCGGCGAGGTTGGGTCTGGATTCTTCACAATTGCCTCCATCCAGCTTCTTTTAGGCCCGTCTGCCTTGGGCTGACAAGCATCCTCCTCGGAGAAGTCTCGGTGGTAGATTCTTGACGGTCCTAGAGTCATCACATCTCACATTTTTTTTCTCACGGCCCCAGTCCCAGTCGATACTAGCATCGCGAACCAGAGCCATGGCACTTTTTGAATTTTGATTGCAAAATCTCGACGACTGGCCCACTAAAGTTGTGTCCCTAACCAGCGGGCTGGACAAAGAGGCCTGGTCCAGCTCGTTTGGCATTCCAGGTGGCATATTGGACAGAATCATCGGTATTGGTGGTCTCTAGATTTCCACGCCCTCTGCACTACGGAGTACACTACTTCGTATTATCCACGAGTCACGAATTGCGGCGTCTGGACTGGAGCCGTCGCTCACCGGCCAATGGATCCGTTTGGAGCAATGCTGACCGAGATATGACTTCTGCGAGGTACCCAACAGAGAAGCAACATTGGCTCGGGAGCTGCGACATGGCAACGGAAGGGTTCTCTCTAATCTATGAAAATGACAACTTGAGAGTCTGTGGGGCTTTCGTCGCTCGGTCCATCAACATTTGCGCCAAGGGCCGATGCCCCAACTTACGAAAAACGAAGTAGATTGTGCAACGGAACCCGACAATTCACATGAGCCTTTTTAAGGTTATGAGTGGCGTCGAGGAGGACCGTTGCTGGATTCCTCGGCTGCTGTTTCGTTGTTTCGTACGAAGTCAGAAGTTCACCCCGACCGCGTTGGCTTATCACCACTTCGAGTTGCCTCCAAAGGCACTCGTAATAAGACCGGTGCTTGGAGACGCCGGTGTCCACCGAAAATGGAACATGATCGAGGGTTCCCTGCTTTTTCTAGCGGGGCCAGTATGGACAGACATCGGGCACAGCCGAGGGTCCCAAAAGGCCCAACAATGACCTTAACCTCCCATCGCCTCCACGCTTCCCTGGAGTGAGTTTGACCCTTAAAGAAGTCCTTAGCTCACACATTCCTAGGGAGATCCCCGACTAACATCGTGAACCGCCCTGCCGGCGCTGGATTCCCAAGGCATGCCCGTCACACGCCTCATCCGGGAGTTTCGGACTGTAGTGACCAATCCCCCCTGACGAGATCAATGAGTCCATCCCCCATTCCACCAAGCTGAGACGATTTTCATAATCTACCACCAGCTCGAGCAGGGTGGACACATTAGTGACGCGCTAACGGTAATTAGCGACTTGGGTTGGTTACCAACTTCCCACCTATGTACCAGGACAGGGGTTCATCCTGTGACCCGCGCTGCCTTGCATTGCCAATCCTCCCGAATCCAGAGCCGGGGCACTGGGATTGGTGGTTGCGACTCGCACGCTCTCCAAACACGACGAGCCATCAACCACTCCTGCGACGACGCTTGCTAGTGTTGGAGCACACACTAGTATTTAGCGCTGTCAGCGAATAAATGGCTGCTCATTCATTGCCTGGAAACAGCGACGCCTGGAAGACCGATTCGAGACGTACACTACGAGGCGCTCTCAAATGATTTGAAGCCAAAGCCAAAACCTCTGTCCCGAGGTATTCATCCCCTTCAGCCAGACATCGGTCCAATCCCCTTTTCCTATCCAGCGATGTAGTATTTTTTTTTTTTCTTGGCGGTTTGATGCCTCTCTAAGGCAGGTGCACCTCCGTGTCAACTACCTCGTATTATCCTACTCTTCACGGTTTGTGGCCTTACATAGTAACGTACGGCTCTCAGTTCGAAGAAATTGTCCAAGGTCCCCCTGGGAACACCTAGTGTGGACAGTACACTACATATGAAGTAAAGGCTCGCTCCATCCCTACCTCAGTGATGACTTGAACTGCCTAACCTGGAGGTATGGGATGTGTACCTGCACACTGGTGGAGATTGCTCAAAAAGCAAGCCTGATACGTGCGTACACTACTTTTCTCAGTCCTTGCTCTCTGCATCCCCAGTTCACAAGCATGTACGAAGTGGTAATGTACCTGAGGAGACGCCATGCTGCAGAAGGAACTCTGGTGGGCCTTCTGAGAATAACGCCCTCGACTACCTATTGCTTCTTACCAGCCAGTCACGATCCTCTGAAAAGACACTGGAACTTGGTTGCTTCTTCAATGCCCAAGGCACATCCTTGCCCTGCATGGGGTTCCTCCCTGCCGGGCCGAACCCTGGTCCCTCATCATTGCCCCCTCACCCCCCTCACTCTCCACCCGACCAATTGGTCTCCCAGAGTCTTGGCTTAATCAATGGCAAGAGCCGGTGCCTCGTAGTGCGAGTGTGTGAGATAGATGACGGGGAAGACTAGGGCCCCTAGGGGGATCCTAATATGACCGATTGCACCTGTACACCACTCTGGCCGGGGGTGCAGCAGGTAATCAAGGCTGGAATGTGGGATGAAGAGTGGACCGGCGAGTGCCAGCCTGCCAATCGCAGGGCGGCGAAGGCTCCAAGTCGGCGGTATGCCCTGGAGAGATATGCAGTTTTGTCTCCCCTTCCAGCCCCAAAGTTGCAGTCGCTTCCACCAGACCGGTATGCTCCGCTCCCCACTTTATAACAGCTCCTCGGTATCAACCCCTCTCCGAGAAATCCTTTGGAATGCAACGCTAACGAGGCAGTGTGCTCCTCCATTTACATTGTACATGTATTGAGGTTGAAAATTCTAACGCACATTCTTATGCCGAGAGCCAGAGATACTCCTGGATCTCGCCGTTGGCAAGGATTGAGTAGTTTACTGCCGCCTGCACATACATCCACATCCACACCCACATATGCACATCCAAACAAATCCCGGTGAGTGGCGTGAAACTCTCTCTCACCTGGGCAAACACGAGTAGAAATTCACCTCATCCGGATCCCCCATCGGTCCCCGCATCCACTCTCCAGGTGGACTTCGGAGAGTATACCGATCTAGACGTTTGGGGCGTGGAGCACGAAGAAATGAGCAGAGTGGAGATAAATCGTTCAAGCGCCACTTCTGGCCTTTGAGCATCATCATCCTTGAGACATCTTCTGCCGAGTAGAGCTGAGGCCCACAGTTGCCGAGTCACTGAGCGGATCAGAGGGAAACTGATCTCTAAGCAAAAGGGCTGAACGCAGGCCGGTTTGGCTGCAAGCCTATATCCCGCTGGGTAAAAAAAAAAAAGAAAAGAAGGGAAAAGAGCAATAGACCAACAGGGTGTCAGTTTACGAAAATTGAAAGCGTATCGATGGAAAAGCACCCATTTGCTTAAGCTCACTCAAATCCATTTCGCCAGCCGGCACCATCGCCCCACGCTTCAACACATTGGCTCTTTGTTTAAACCGGAGAGACGGGACAGAGAAGTGGCACATGAATAAGGGGGGGTAAGAGACCCCAGTCCTTCTCCCTGGTCCCGAGAAAAGGTTTATAGTTCCCACCTTTTCCCTTTCCGACCCTCTCCTCGATTCCTACGGAGTACATACGAAGTACGCTGGTCACCTAAACCTCGCAAACCCCCCCTGCAGACACGCCCCGTTGACAGCATCCTGGTTACCCGTCCCGTTACGACACCGCCACTACGGTTCTCATTGGGCTCCGCCCTCGTGGTTCAGGCTACTACTAGTGTTCCCAATTTCTAGACCCAGGTTCCCACTGGTCTATATCACTTCTTCATATATTCCATCTCCTTGGCAATATCCGCGATCTATCTCCCACTTCCTTCACAACATCACCTCCACACCGAAAACACTCGTATCTTTAACCTACCGAGAGCTTCACCGAAAGACTTAGAGTCCCTCAGCCACGACCGCTATCACCGATCCCTCTTCTTATTCATCAAGATGTGTGATTACATTCAGGTATGTTGTCCCGACCATCAGTGACGAACTCTCCCGCACGCACCAGTGAGGGGACTCTCCGGTCCATCCTTGCTTACCATCTTTCCATCCACTAGAAAGAGCTACGCTGTGGGCATGTCAGGTATATCGTTCACAGGTGGTGCGAGACGTACCAGCGGACGGGAAAACCATGTCGACCGAACGTGACCTTCTTCGAGTATTGGGGAGATCGGGTCTGTGGTGAGTCTAGCCGCCTCGACGCCCGAATTTCTTACTTCTCTTCCGAGCTTTTGTTCCAAAAATAGGTCACCATAGAGCAGGATCACTACAAGCCCATTACAGGAAGAGGGCGGCTACCCGGCAGTCGAAGATTGTTTGCTAACGCAGGATTACCTGCAGGCTCATGCATGCCACAGAAGGCGTTAATCCCCGCCATCGAGCGAATGATCCGGAGGCCCAAGATCCCCGTTGAGATGTGAGATGCTTCGCGGCACACATCCACCTGACTCTTTTGACGCACACCACAAACATATACATCGGCGCATAGGCTATATATAGGATTATGGGATAATTCATGGAACAGGATTCACAGGACAACTTGGTGGGAGGGACACTTTTCTATAGACAGGCAGATATCAACTGGGGGTTCTTGGTTTGGGATTGGGTTGGCATTTTGGTTTTGGTTCTATCTTTAGGGTTTTCGATACATGATTTTTGAGATGTCCAACTGTTTGACGCTCTGTCTGGTGTTGTCGTGGTGGTGAGCTATTTCGTACTTTCCACGCGGATGATAGTTTGTTTTCTGGATGGCGTTTCTCAGGGTTCCGGTGTTTACACTCTCGTCGTCCATCCCTGTCGTCAAACCGAGATCGTAATGTGGAGACGCCGGACCCCGAAGCTCCGCTGCCCGTTGCTCAAACCCCCTTGCTGATCACCATTCTCTTGCTTTGTTCTCTGTTTGTGTTGCTCACTACATCTGGAGTTGTGGCTAATATTACTTCGTACGATGGAGTAAACATCAAGATCAGACAAAGAAATCGCGTGAGCTTCAAGGCGGGAAGGGGATCCTTGATCATCCTAATACGCCCCCACTCGGAAATGAAGCGGGTTTGTTTTCTTCGTGGTAGCATATGAGCCTTTTTTTTCTTTTTTTTTTCCTTCTCTTTTCACTGAGAACTTGACTTTGATCACCTTACTGCACCTCTTGGATGATTTATTACCTCAAAACTTATCCCATTGCTGTCATTGACTGGTTTAGACGGGAGACTGTCAAGGTCGTCGAACGAGCTGCATAAATGCATCCTGCGTCATCACGATGTTCATGGCAACAACTTGTGTATCTAGACGATCTGGGTCCTCCACCAGCTCAGAGGATCTCGCCGCCAAGTGGGCATCCGATGTTCATCGTAGGCAGATAACATCAGGTCCTTAGTTGGCTTTCCCGAAGCGAGGGTACAAGAGAGGAGGGCACAGATCTAACTCAGCAAGGACAAAGATCTAGCCCTGCTGGGATGTAATGGCTTCGTAGAGACAACCACTGAGTCTGTTTGTGTATTTTACCATATGACATTGGCTCGAGACAAAAGTGGGCGGAGCATGAATCGATGGGGAAAAGGTGATGAAGAAAAAGTAAGCACCCTAGCTCTTTTTTTTTTTTTTTTTTTTTTCCTCCGCTCTCCTTTCTCTCCCCCTTTTCTTTTCTTTCCTTTCGCCCTCTTTTGGACTCTCCAATCACGCAACACTGGAAACAAGACGACAAGGGAGAGAGTATAGCCTCGGCATCCACCATTACGTTGAGACCCTAGAAGCCGGTCGCCTGGCTAGGAATGGTAGGATAGGTTCGGGATTCAGGCCTTGACAGGTCTAACGGATGGGATGGCCGAATCATGCCACAGAAGAGTGATATAGCAGTCGTTGTTACTTCTCCTATTGCCTCCCGGAGATATAAAACAACAACTCCGGGGGAGGCAATATAGCAATTTAATTAGATACTCTGAAATGGAAACATGAGCGATTGGGAGGGCGAGATCAAGATGAGAGGTCAGTTTCGCCTGCCCCAGATTCAGAACAAGATCTCACCATGACGGATTACCTGATTCTTACTCAATGGGGTTACTGGGAGGGTCTTGATTTGGGGGGTGTAGTTTTGTTAGATTGGCTGGAGAACTTGCTTCTTCTTCGTGGGTGGTGTTGGGAAAAGGTGTGCGATTGCAGCTGAAACCTCGACTTGTTTGTGTCTGATATTTGCCTGCCGGATTCTATTGCGTCTGTTTTGATCATATACGACGCCCCAGTGGGAGAAATATGACCAACATTGGATTGCTTGTATCGAGGTTGGTGACTCAAGCTCTTTCCATGATCCTGAGTCGTGGGGTAGTACAGAGGTCGATGCAATCAAAACTGATATGGCCGTGAAACTATCGTTATACAAGACCAGAGCTTGACCTCGTTACATTGGACATCAACTTCCGCATTTTACCGACGTATGCTCTTCGCCATACGATACTAGTAATCTGCCATTACACTCACATCTTCCGCTCTCCCGGGTGTAGTACCAGCTTCTGATTCGTTATATATTATTTCGCTCTGTGGACCGGGCCGCCACGTTGCGACCCCCGGTGCAGGCAGGTCAGTATCACCACGCCACCAACTCCCGGGATATTCCCCGGGAACCAAGCCCACAAGTTCGGGCCGGTGGCGGGGTGAGATCAAGATCTTCATTGGTATCGTATGGACAAATGGTAGTTGTACTAGAAAGGGAGAGTACGAGCCTAGAGGCTAGAATCCTTTGGCTTCACTATTGGGTGAGGGGGTACCGAGGTATATTCTCAGGCATTGATTCTCTGAAGATCTTTTGGCGAAGGTTGTGAGAATAGTGGTGGGCAGCATATCTACTATTTGTCGTTTTCCAAGCGTGGTTTGGAGAAACCGTTGAAACAGCTGCCGAGCACCGTTTTGTCATGCCTGAGCAGTATTGAATCACCTCGAACAGTTGGGAAACTCCTTTTCAATGGTATCGTGGGGGGTTATGTCAAATGGCTCAAAACTTTTTTTTTTCCCTTTTTTTCGAACTCATTATCTTCGTTTCTCCAAAAGTAAGTCACTTTCGTCGTTGTCACTCCCCAGCTGCGTCGGGCTTGATATTGCCCATTGATGTCGGCGACGCGGGACAGGCGGCGATCGGCGGGGTTCATCATATCGGCTCCGAAACTCTCCCCACTTTGATTAAATCCCGGCCCGGTGCTGCCGGAGCGAACCCGGTACCTGCACGCATTTTCAGTATATTAAGCTCTGGCATGACATACATCGGATTGCAAAAGATGAGACTCATGGAACCTTCATTTCAACCCTCGTTCATAATAACGCCAACTCATTTCCATCAAGGGCGACGCGCTCTGCAAGGGATTGAATGTACCTCGGACAGGTACTCATAGACAGTCCTTAAATATTGTTTTGCTCTTGTAACTCTTCACTTGTTTCCAGGGGGCAGGACAAAACAAAATTTTGACAAACTCTTCAAACAGCGTTTGGAAGATGCAAATATTACAACTTTGATTTGCTCTTATGAAACGCGCGACTCTGGCGAAACACAAAGTACTACGTCATTGTTATCGTTGAAAGGTACTTGATACTTCAACATCCTGGGGACCAGGATTCTGGACGTCTCCCAGACTGTTGGTGCCCCAGTTGTCGGGCATCCGGCAGCTGCCAGCCCTTTCTCTCCCCTATGATTGGCCACAAGCTTCTTGGGGAACCTGGTAGGCTTCCACAACCAATGACTCTAGAGATACCCCGCCATTCATGTGACACCCCCCCCCGCCTGCCACCCTGAGAGCAGAGCAAAGAGGGGGAAGGAGAGACTGGCAGAGCAAGCTCCAAGGCTGGACTCTCTACGAAGTAGCTACATCTGATCGCCTGGCTTTGTCACCGCCATCAATCAGGCGGACAAAGAACTACTCATAGTCAAACCTATGACTCTGCCTGCCTAGAGCCTCGTGTTCCGTCACCCATAATTTCTCTAGCCTTCTCCATTTTCCTTCTCCCTCCCTGCCACTTCCATCAGCGACCTGAGGTCTTTGAAGAACCACACCATAAACACCATCTCCATCCACTTTCCCCCAACACTCTCTCATCTCCTACAAACCACCACCAGACAACTCCACACCACCGAAGACAACACACAGCAAAAATGAACTACATCTACTCAACAGTCAACACCCTCCGCGACCGCTACACCCCCGTCGCTACAACCTCCACCTTCCGCAAAACCGGCGAAATCACCCCCGCCGAATTCGAAGAAGCCGGCGACTACCTCGTCTCCAAATTCCCCACCTGGTCCTGGGGCGACGCCGACGACGACTCGCGCCGCGTTCCCTTCCTCCCCGCCGGCAAGCAGTACCTCGTCACGCGCAACGTCCCCTGTTACAGGCGGCTCGACGACGATTTCGCCGGCGACGCGGGGAGGGAGCAGGCCGTCGTGGGGGACGGCGACGATTTTAATGCGGGTGCCGATGAGGATGGTTGGTTGAGGACGGGCGGGTTGGCGAGCTCGCAGCCGTTGAAGGCGAGGGAGATTAGGGCCGTGGATGAGGCGGGGAATGTTGCGGAGGGGGAGGTTGTGGAGGAGGATGAGATTCCGGATATGGAGGATGAGGAGGATGATGATGCTATTATCAAGGATACCGGCGCTGAGAGCAAGAGCGGGTAAGTTGATGCCCTCTCGCAAACGCCTACCTCTCTTCTTTCAGACTGCTAACTTTTCTCTTCTTTTCCAGCGGTCGCCGGACCTACAACCTCTACATAATGTACTCCCCCTACTACCGCACGCCCCGCCTCTACCTCTCCGGCTACCTCCCCAACGGCCAACCCCTCCCGCCCAAGTCAATGATGGACGACATCGTCGGCGACTACAAAGACAAGACCGTCACCCTCGAAGACTTCCCCTTCTTCGCCGACAACATCAAGATGGCCTCCGTGCACCCCTGCAAGCACGCCTCCGTCATGAAGACCCTCCTCGACCGGGCCGACGCCGCGCTCCGCATCCGAAGGGAAAAGTTGCGCGCGGCCGCCGCTGCTGTCGCCGCCTCCTCCTCGGATAGCGCGGCCGCGACGGATACTCTGGTCGAAGAGGTCAAGAAGCTGGATGTCAAGGATGCGGAGGCGGAGGCTGATAAGACGGGGGATGAGTGGGAGGAGGTGCAGCAGAATGAGATTGATGATCAAGAGGTTGCTATTCGGGTGGATCAGTACCTTGTTGTATTCCTTAAGGTGAGTTCAATATTCTCTATTTCCCCCCCTTTGATCTGATGCTAATGAATAAACTACAGTTCATGGCGAGTGTTACTCCCGGTATCGAACATGACTTTACGATGGGCGTTTAAGCTCAAGGCTGTTTCTACGTCTGACAGTTTTTTGTTTTTCTCTTTCTGTTTTCCTTTTCTTTGTTTCTCACCACCAAGATAGATCTTGCAAACTTTTTCTCTGTATCAAGGAAGTGTTTATGCTTCTAGAAACCAAAGAGTAGTAAACCAAAAAAAGGCCTCATTGGACATCCACCATGTCACAACGCCGAAATCAGTCGAAGTAGGAGTGCCTACTAGCAAGTCGCAAAGTATTTTAACCGACTCAATGTGAAGTCTTCTCATAAAACTATTTATCGCAGAAGCGCAAAGGTGTCAGGACGATCGAGTTTGGCTACCTCACAAGTCCAAAAAATATTGGTATTTAAAAAAAACCGCCTAAAACCAAACCTCATTTCATCCTGTTCTGCTTCTTGTGCGTAAACCCGGACGCCCATTAACTCCGCACATGTTCTTGCATAATAAAGGGAAAAGGAAAAAGAGAAAGCAAAATAACGCGGAGAGAAAACAGGCCTCTCAGAGCAGATTTGTCTCTGCAATGATGGCCGCCTGACGCACATTTTCATTCTCCTCTTCCTCAAAGGTCATGGTGTCATCCATCCAGCCGGAGTAGCCGTCATCATCTTCCTCTTCATTGTTCTGAGTAACGGCGGAGGGGGCGGCATCTGATGACTCTGCCTGCGGTTGTGCCGGAGTATCTTGCACGTCATGGACTTCTACCTCCTCTGCGACAGGTACTTGTTTTGGCGGCAGAGGAGGCGGACGAGCATCAGCCTGCTGCGTTGGGATAACCTTTGATCCCTCATCGACACCGGCAGGTTGCACTGTCGAGTCAAGACTTGGGAAAGCCTCCCCAGCAGCAGCAGCAGGGGTACCGGGCTCGGAATCTGAAGGTGCGGCCACAACGAGCATATTCCCCTCAGGCGGGTAGTCATCGACACTATCGTTCCTACCTCTCCTCCTCGGAAGGGGCGGCGGTGGTACGGGCCTCTTAGATTTGTGCTGCTCATCCTCAAGCGACATCTCCTTTGCCTTCTGAACGTCCTGCTCCCATTCTCGTTCCCGTTCCCTTTCACGGTCGCGGTCGCGGTCACGATCACCGGGACCGGGCCACCACCGCTCAGGCAAAAGAGGCGGCGGCAGAGTCCTCTTCTTCTGCACAGGAATGGTCGTAGGCTTCTGAGATCTGTCCGGCGGCGGGAGCGGTATTCCAGGAGGTGGCAACGGTCGTCCCCTGCCCATGGGTTGGCTCAGGTCGACCTGGGGATGACCGTTACTGTTGTGATGGTGGTTAAGCTGGTTTTGCTTCTGCTGCTCTTCCTTAGCCTCCCTGCGACGCTGCAACGCGTTAAGACCCCACTGCCGAGCCTGCTGCGCTGCGTTGCTAACGGCGGCAAAGGTATTATTCTTCACGGTGGAGGTACCGTTCGAGTTATGGCCCGCAGATGAGTTAGAGTTGGAGCTACCGAAAGATGTCCCCGTCTCTTCGCGATTGGGAAAACCCCGAGAATTCGAATTGGTTGAGCCGGCGCGACTCTTTACAGAAGCAGCTTTACCCTGGTTAGTCGCGTGCCCGTGATCGAAGGATTCGATCGAAGATGTCGTATCTCTCCTGTTCTCGTGCGATGTCGTCGTTGTTGTCGGTACAGGCACAGGCACCGTGTCTTCCTCATGTTCCCTTTCCCGATTTCGATCACCGTCTCTATCGCTATGAATCGAATGCGCCTTGGCCACAGGCGGCGGCGGCTTGATCGGCGAGGCCAAGGGCGTCATGCCCTGTTTCGGAGGCGAACCGGCCACGGCCGCCAAAGTCTCCATCGCCGCAGAAGTCGGCATTTCTCTTATGCCAGCCGCGGGTTCCGCCTTGGCTGAATCTGGCGCTACAACGACATCGGCAGCTGTCCTAGACGGTGCGGGCCACGCACTAGCAGTTGCTGGGACGTGCTGTGTGGACTCGAAGCTCGTCGTCGATGCCCTTGGACTGCTAACCGCAGACTTGGTAGTGAGCTTTCGACTAAAGAGACTGGCTGTGGGGCTTTTCACCAACGGGGGGGTTTCGGCCCCGTGCTTCTCAATAATGTGTGGATGCTTTGGATCTGACACATCAAGGGCAAACTGAACGTCGTGTCCGCAAGGATCATTCACCGGCGGTGCATCTATGACCTCCTCCGGCGGGGGTGTCGAAGGCTGGTTGTCCGAAGCCCAGATCCCTCCACGCCACTTCTTGTGCTCGGTATCAAAGAAGGGGACATCGTCCCAGAAAGGCGACACAATACTCTCGGCTACAACCTCCTTGATCCTGTTCTCGATCTGACGAAGAATCATCGTATAAGTAATCTGTCGGGAGCTGACGATGGGCTCGATGCTCATCTCCATCTTGGGCATAGACTGAAACGAGAACCAAATTCGGTTACTCGGCGGGGCCTTGATCTTGAACATGGCACGTCCCTCAATTCTGCGTAAAACAACGGCTAGAGTGAGGTCGACCTCGCGGGCTTTGAAGCGGGAACCGAGATCGATACGGGCAGTAGTCGAAACCTCTATCCGAAAGTTACCCGTATACCGAACGTCCGCTTCCACAACGCATTCGCCATCAACGCTTAGATCCCTTAGTTTCGGGTTCGAAATGTAGGGCGGCGAATTCCCCGTGTGAATGTCTCGGATGACGATATGGGTCAGAAACGAGGGGCGCTTGACTCGCGAAATCTTCTTTGTAAGCTTCTCGCGAATGAAGTTTTCCAGTTCGTACGTCTTGTAGACAGAGAGGAACACCCGTCCAAGAAGGGCGTTAAGCCACCTTGTATGCAGGTGATCGTCGGTCGAATGGAGGCGTTGAACAAGGGAGATGATATCCGTCACGTCGTACTGAAGCGGAACGGGCGCAGTTCGGTCGGCGGCGAGAGTTTGCTCCTGGTTCCGGAGGAGAGCAAAGTAAAAGTCTTCCTTGGCAGAACAGTTTTCGGAAAAGAGGTAGAAGGGTTTCGCATTCTCGGAAGCTATGTCGTAGGCCTCATTTCTTCTGGACAAGCGGATGGCGTTTCGCTTTATGTAGAGTTCGCCCTCTGGTGTAACATCGCCCCCCGAGTATATGCTAACGTCGTGGTGGGCGAGAGATATGACATGGCGGACTTCGAGCTGTTCCTCGTCATCGAAAAGCATCAGGTGGCCGTGTCTAGAATAAGGGAGCTGTTAATGCTGATGGCAGACTCAGATCGCTAGAATAAAACGGGATACACAGAAAAATAAACAATCATATGCTTCACCATACCTAAGCGCAACGTAAAACACATTGCCGGCCTTCTTGGGCCGTTGGCTCGCCGTTCCATTACTATCTATCGGACTCGACGTCTGCTTCCGGTCAAAGATGCTCCGGTACATGGTCTGGTATACACTCTGACTCGGAGCCGCCACGGTCGTCGATCCCACAGGTGTCGACCGCTCGATGGGTTTCGCGTTGATCCCCATCGGCGTGTATTCACGACACACGGCAAAGTATCCCGCAGCGACATCGGGCTCGCTCGTCAACCGGGTCTTATTATCCTCTTTTCTCGCATCCTGTGCTTCTATCAGGGCGGACACGTCGTCCCCCGGCTGAATAATATCGTCGCAGTCGTCTTTTTTCCTCACGTCGGGGTCGGGTCGGTAAGGGAGCGAGAAGTAGAGGTGGAGGAGAACGGCGGCCACGGTCAGTGGGAGGAAGGTGAGGCCGCCGAGCAGATAGGCGAACAGGAAGAACGTCCAGCCACCCATTTCTCACACACCCGCGAGGGGCTCGGTTCACGAGGGGGAGGATTGGCGGGTGGCGGGTCACAGCATAGATTGAGGCGAACGGGAGGTGTTGTTGTTGATCATGAAAGGTGGACCTAGGGCTTCAAGTCGTGGGACCTGTTAGGTGGCATGTTTCGATTAGATTGAAAAGAAAGAATGGCGGGTTAGGAATTCTAGGGCACTCGTAGTATCGCCACTCGGAGCTCGAGTTAGATCGGAGTTCCTGACACGTTGGAATTAAGGCGGTGGGAGAGAACCAGGAGTGAAGGAGTGAAGATGTCAAAGTGTTCTCGAGTGGCTACGTCAATGTTGTAGTCGGTCATGGTGGCAGAGTGGCAGAGTGGCAGGATAGATCAATTAGTGGGTGGCACTGGGTGGTGCTCCGAATTATGGAGCACCTCGAGGTAGCTTGTACCCGCTAGCGCTGCACTCCGGCCACTAACAACCCGCCGCCAACGCCTGCTGGGGCTGTTGCCTGTGGAGCTTGAGAGGGCCTGGGCTCGACACAAACAACATTCACAACAATACGGGTCAAGGAAGCTAGGCCACCACAAGATGGTCACGGTACCTGCCTGTGGCGTCAAGATTGTGCTCACTGACCAACGATCAGTGCCTTCACTCTTGCAGACACGCCGTCCCGGGCTTCAGCTTCGGGAGAGGATTGATGCAGTTTCTAACGGCCCACTTTGGAGGAAATTAATTTGGTATTAAGAAAATAAATTAATGATCTTTTTTAGAGTTAAAGTGCCATACCGCGAGGCCCTGTGGTTACCTCGTTTGACTGTTTTACACCTCTTGTTTGGTAAATATTCCAAAGGAGTCCTCCGTGCCGCTTTTATATCCCTTGCCAATCCCAAGCGACCTATGCCAAACCGATCCGAAAACAATATATTACCATTTCTTGTAACCTCTGCATCTTTCTCCCTGCTTTCATTTCGCGCAATCCTCCGCTATTATTGCCGTCTGCGTTGCGAGTTGCTGTAACTGTTGAGAGTGTCGTCGCTGCTGCTGAGCCCTCATCAGCTCAATCCGCCTCCGACTCGACAGCCTCGTTGGTCTCCGAGGCCTAGCTGTCTCTGCTTCTGCCTCCACAACAATCTCCAACACCTCCACTTCCTCCTCTTTGACCTCAGGTTCATCCCTTTCCGCGTCAAGTTGCGCGAGCACCTGGCTATTCGACACAACTTGCACGCAGATATCGCCCTCCCTCGCAGTCTCAGGCAAGTGCCACACCATGACATTCCCCACCATCTCCCCCTTGATCGGTTCAACCACATTCCGCGTATCCTTCCTCAAAATGTGAAACTCCACCCTCTCTCGAATCAAAGGAATCCCAGTGGGACTCCCCTGCGCCATCTCAACCCTCATGGCCCCCCCGGCCTCTAGCTTCGACCTCACGTCGATCTTGTTTAACCTCTCCCGCCACGTGAGGAAGAGAATCTCCGTCGGCGCCAGGATAGCTTCCATCTCGGCCCGCACCTCCCTGGATAGTTCGGAACGCGAGAGCACGATGGTGCCCTGAACGCGGACGAGTTGGTGCTTCGGCTCAGCTTTGGCGCGCTCCTCGAGGGCGGCAAGCCGGCGACTGAGGCCGAGGTCGAAGCCGATGACTGGGCGGGCTTTGGAGTAAACTTGTTCCGGTTCGCTTAGGCGCCGGAGTTTGAGGGCGTCGGATTTGGCTTTGAGGATGGCGGAGGGGGATGTTTGGTTGCGTGGGATGTTGGGACGCATTGTGACGGTCTCTTGCTTCATGGTGTTATTGGATTCTCAAGAGAAATCCGGTTGGATGAGAAAGATGAAGAAAGCTCGGCAGTCCGAAGCGGTTTACGGGTCTTCACCCCGCGTAAAAGGTAACGGCAAGGGTATCAATTGAATGTCTCGCGTGCGGGAAGAGCGTATTGTATTTATATATCAAGGTGAGATGCTGTCAAGCAGGACCCTGTCGTCGTCATGTATCGTTTACACGGAACAAATGCAAGGGATAGCAGAGTGTAATGTATCGGTCGGGAATCATGTGGTATGGTAAAAACAAAACAGACCTGACAAGCATGACGATGAAATTGGAAGATTCTCGAGCAACCTTCTCGAGATGAACGGGCTCAGGGTTCTTTATAATGGTCAAATTTCCAACCCATCGAGACTCTGCATCGAGATGAGACGGGACTTTACGCACACCCCCTCCCCCGGTCTCATGTGTGCTGCCACATCGAGAGCACACAAGCTCGATTCAGACAATGCTTCGTATAGACTGGACACATCCATCCAACGTCTCGTTCCCATTCCTACCCTTTTTGGCCAGATGAGCGAGCCCATGTCTTACAACGTGTAAGCTATGTTCACTTTTTTCTCGGGGCTGCAAGGGTATCATCAGCTATCAAGTGCTGGGGTTATGGGGAAAACAAGCTCTTAGACTCTCGATCGACTAGTTCAATGGCGTGTTATTCTCCCTGTTCCCCCTCAGTCTCAGCCAGCCCACCTTCATCGGGCTTCCCCACGCGTCTAATCGGTTTGACTCGATGGGGGCGTGTAAGTCACCGTCGATCATGACCATCGACATCGTACCTCAACATCGTAAATACCCCAACATTGATCAGAAATGCAGAAACGCAATGTAAAATATCACAAAACGATATCAGTTTTCGCTTGCCAACAGCTTTGGACAGGGGGAATGGAGCAGAATAGGGATCTTTTCCTCCTACAAAAAGCAAAGTGACCACCTTTCCCCCAGGCGCCACTAAGACAGGTGGATATGCCGGATGCAGCCCGAGCGATCCGGTATCGAGCCATCGATGCGGAAAATCCAGTTTCCTTCTCATTTGCGACTATGGAAAAGAAGCAAAATAGACTCTGAAATGTTTCTCCTCTCATCTCTTTTTGATGGCGAATGCGGTGGTTTGCAGATGGAATGACTGACTGGGGGGGAGGGGTGTGGCTATTCATTGTGAGACCGAGTGACGGGATCGTGGTCAACGTCTGCAAAGGGTGTGAGATGGGTAAGAGTGAGGGAGGCCAAGGTTTTGCTTTCTGGTGCTGCATCACGATTGAAGTATCGAGCTGCAGAAGACAGATGAGATGTTGGAGGTAAAGGCAAGAGCTCTAGTTAGGGAGGAGAAGGAAAAAGAAATAACAAATCACCACGAGCTCACATCAGGGAGCGGTGTACAGATTAACCTTAGGTTAAATTCCCCATAATGGTGGACATAGACTTATCTTCATTGAGAAGAGAGCTCAGCTTGGACCGTTTGACATCCTCCGTCGTCTTCTCTAGTAGCTTGATGATGGTCGTACAGGAGTCCGGCTAGGAGGAAGACTTCCCGTGCGTATTCGAGATCGGCTTCCCCCCGGGAGAATGCCAGGGAGTCTTGGAGCTGGGGAAGAGAAACCCAACTACTGAAGTAAGAGCTTCTTCGTGACAATAGCGTCGTCATCTGTTTTGTAACATGAGAGACCCGGGAGATCCATCATTGGCAAGGATCCCGGAGAGAGCCCGAGACAAGGCGGGGAATGTCTCACTGCGCCTGGGACCCGGACGGTCAAGAGGAGGGGATATGGAGCGTGTTCGACGGAGAAGATATGAGGTGTGCCAGTGGGCAGCGGCGCGACAAGAGCTCTTCCGATTCAGATCGGCCACACATCCATAGGGCTAGATGTTGAATAAATGTGGGTGATGCTTTTGAGAGCGGGATCGAAGTTATTTTTCTCTTCTTTTTCATGTAGTCTAGATCAGATGAAGATGTTGCTCTTGCTCTGTTCTTGCTCCGCTCCGGGCCTTGGGCACCGAAAGCCTCGCGATACAAGAATGGTGAAATCGCCATCTCGAGTATCGCACGAGTCAAAACGATTGCGGAACCGACATGAGACAATGTTTGGCGATAAGACTAGTTTAACGTGTGTGCAAAACTGTCGCGCCAGCCAGTCTGAAGAGGTCCAGATCCACGCCCTCTCAGAGAAAGCAAATCCCCCATATTCCCAACCAGTGACACACCCCACAACAGCTCTCGAGTGTGTATGGGAGAGGGACAGAGCCAGGTTAGTCAAGAGAGATTAAGGCAAAAAGTACCATGGAGATTGCTCAGCCGCTCAGCTTCTAACAGGGTCGAGATCAATGACCGTTTGTTTGCCCGTGTCGTAAGATCACAAATCCCAAATCCCATCAAATTTGTCGATGATGATACTAAACATGGTTCAGTAGATCGGAATGAAAATCAACCTTATTCTCTCCCCCCCCTCCATCTCGACTCTAGCTTTTGAACGGGGGAATTGCTTATTCTTGGTGGTGCGGGAGACCAGGGTAGCTGACGAGCAGGGGTCATGGAGAGACACGATCCGCTGCTCGTTGCTTCTTTTCTGGCCCAAGGCGGACACAAAACCCATGGTGCGGGTTTCTGGCGATCTGCCGCAAAGAGACAGGTCCACTTCCCGTGCCTTGGACGACGATGCCATGTCAGGTAATATATTAAATCCGAATAGTTGCATTTGCCTTGCTCGCCCATCTCCCTCGGCTAAGAAAAGGACATCGGAATATGCGATTTTCTTTTGGCAGAAGGAGATATCCGGAGATAGAATGAGACACGGCATCTGGTGCTGCTAGATAGTATCGTCTCAATGCGTAACCGAGAGTCAGCGCAGGCAGGGTCGGCATAGGTAGTTAATTTCCTTTCGTCGTCATCATGGATGATGAGAATGTTGGTCTGTTCAACTGATCGCCATGGGGTGTCTTTTGCAGTCTGCATATCTCCTTTATTTTCGGGGGCTCCATTTCATTTTGATAGCAACTCTTCGAGAGCTTGACATCGGCAATGAACAACAAACCCAGAGAAGTATCAAGGATCTATTCGAAACCGAGGGCCCGGATGCAGAGTAAACTATGCTCGAAGAACTGTGTTTCCTCCTTTGTTTGAACTCTCTCTCGTCTTCTTTCACTTGAATAACATGGGCCTCTTGTCGGTTGACCTGGTTGCGCCGAGCGCAAAAGCCGTAGG